TCTCATATTTTCCAACCTATTTTCTCTAATTTTTCTTTCCTCATTTATTTAATGATCAATTTCATATTATGACTATTAAGTTTTACAGTTTTTTTGAATGAGTTTGTATTATTGAATTTGTATAAATGTCGATGTTATTACCAATATCACTAATAAATTTTATTATAAATGCTAAATATAAATACCGAATGGTCAAGTAAATTCAAACTTTAACAAGATGCAATGCGTGTTATTAAAAGTCCATTTTCATTTGGTATTGTAAATGGAAGACGTGTGAGAGGCACGTGTTATTTTTCATCCAACTTAACTGCAAAAATAAATGGCGGATCAGTTGTGTCGAAAAGTTGCATGATTAAGGACTAATATTGTAACTCCAAAATGTTTAGAGATAGTCAGACAGTTTTAAAAAAATGGATAAAGTATAAGGACAAAAAATGTAATTTTCCGACATTTTTTCATTCCAATTTTCTTAAAACAAAAATTAGAGCCCATTTTTTACTTGAAAGATTTTTTTTTCTTTTGAAAAAGTCATTTCCCATCCATTTTGACTCCGATTTCCACACTTCTACACCCAATTTATGAGGAAAACCCTAACAAGTTTCTGAAGCTTTGCAGGCCCATCAACACACCAATTTAAATCCCACCCAAATGATTAAAATTGGTATTCCATTAATCAATAAGTTAAACGTGCGATAATTCAAGAACCACGCCGCCAATTACAAGAGGTAAAATAAAACTATGGGTGTGGAACAAGATGAATCGGTTCACCTTCCACTCGAAATGATAGAAATCATCGTGCCAAAATTACCAGTTAAATCTCTTCTTCGATTCAAATCAGTTTCCAAGTCGTGGAATACTATGATCTCCGATCCCACGTTCGTCAAGAATCATCTCCAGATATCGAAACATTCGAACCCACATAATCTTTTCATGCAAAACAATCCAAACTCTAAAGGGTTTTTTTCTTTGGTTAAATTCGAAGACCGGAAGTTCTGATCCGTAAGATTACTAGAATGCCCCTGTGCCTGGGGTAAGTTGATCTTGGCCTTCTGCGACGGCGTGCTACTTTTATCCGACATCTCTTACAAGAAATTAACGTTTGTGGAATCCATCCACTCGATAAACCGCAAAGTTTGAGTTCCCATATGCGCATTCTTGTTATCCAATGAGTTACGGGCTTTTTCACGATCGAACCGTTGGCGATTTTAAGGTAGTTGTTATATGTAGGGAACACTACGCGGTTTATCGTGCAAGAACAAAGCGTGGACGAGGAAGCAACGAGTTCAAGGAATCAGTCTAGTACAGATTGGTTCCGGAGTTTGTGTCGATGGGATCGTCTATTGGGTTAATCGTTGGAGTAGTGACGAAACACATATTTTTATATTTCGATACGAAAGATGACGACGAGTTGAAGGTTTTGGGAAAACCGGAGAATGTTAACTTTACGGGCAAAATGATCGACTTGATCTGCTTGAGGGACTGCTTGTTCATGTGTTGCATTGGTAGAGGCGTGACGAATGTTCAAATCTGGATAAAGGGAGAGGGCTCTGGCAATAGTACTTGGAAGGAGTTGATGACTATTGAGAATGTGCGGACGCGGGCTTCTTGTTTCGAGCCACTACTACATTTTGTCGGGATAAGATTTTAATTGTATTGAAAGATTCAAAATTAGTCGTCTACAACCCTTCTGAGAAAACGTTTGAAGAAGTTGACGATAGTGTGCTTTCCGGACGCGGATTTTTTCAGTATACGGAGAGTCTCCTTTTCCCCAATCAAAATTAAAGTTTCTTTCTTTTTTCGTTTTCTTTTTGAAAGAGAAATCCTAAGAGACAAGACCCTCATCTATTCTTTGTTCAAGCTTTGAATAGTTTAACCTGATTAGAATAAATGATTAGTCGTCGTTGTGAGGAAATTTTATCCGTGCCTTTTCTTTTATTTTCGAAAATGAGTTTGTAGTGGATTTAAGGCTCAATTTGCGTTTCTGAATCGAAGGGGAAATTTACAGTTTATGTCCTAAACTTTACCACTAAACTGATTTATGTCACTACACCATAAAATAGATTTTCTAACGGATGTATCCGTTAGAAATATTTTTTACAACAGCGAAAAAACATTAGAAATAGTGCATGAGAAATTCTGAGCCTTTCATTTCTAACGGATATATCCATTAGCAAAATAAAGCATACCGTTAGTATAATAATATTTGCTAACGGATAAATCCATCAATACTTTCGTAACGAATAGTTTTGTAACACTCGATCTAAAATAGTAAGGGATATGCCCGTTAAACCTTTAAAACAAACAGTTAGAACAATATAGTTTGTTAACAGATATATCTGTTATAAATACTTTCGTAACGAATAGTTTTGTAACACTCTATCTAAAATAGTAACAGAGATGCCCGTTAGACCCATAAAACAAACCGTTAGAACAATATAGTTTGCTAATTGATACTTCCGTTAGAAATACTACTGTAATCAATTAAAAAAATTAGATTGGGCATAAATTTAATACTTTTGTATAATTGAAATAAAAAATAAAAATTTAATAAAAACAGAGTTGTAGGATGAGGATCTTAATTTAGCATGATGATAACAAAATATGTAGATAAAAAGTGAGACGAATGATTGTGGTTGAGATTGGGGTATTATACTTAATTTTCACACACACTAAATAAGTAAATAAAACGATTTTAAGGAAATCATATATTGTTCATATTAGTTAATGTATATATAAATGCATATATACTAAAACATGTATGCATATATATTTCACCATAATTGGACATAATTAAAAAAATGTAAATTGATTTCATAAAATAAAAAATAGATATGATTGACAACAAATCCGATACCTTTATTTTATTTGATGCAAATTCACATAAGTTATTAATAATTAATAATTGAAAGTCAAACTTTACATAAATTAAAATTAATTATGGTGATATTATTTCCATAAGTTATAAATATATGATAGATATGATATTGATGATATATATATATATATATATATATATATATATATATATATATATATATATATATATATATATATATATATTAGTTTTTATATATATTATATTTATATATTCAAATGAAAAAAAACTATGAAATATATACTAATTTATTAATATATTCATTTATACAGATATCTCAAAAAAAACAAATAACCGTATTCCTTTTGTTTTAATATTAAAAAAAATATTTTTTCGGAAAATTATTTGAATATTCGTAAAAAAATTGAGTATCGTGAATTTTTTCAATAAATATATTTCGAAATATTGCCAATATGAATAAGAAATTTTTTTTTTCTCGAATTTATAGAATATTAAATTTGGAAATAATATATATACATGTGGTAAATGTTTAAATGAGTGTACAAATGTTAAATAGGAAATAACTTAAATACATACCAAATTAAAAACGACAACTCACCAATTGAGGAATCCACCTCATCAATTGAACTCAAACTAAGCGATTTGGATGAATGACATAGACATTTGCCACATGTCATTCATATAGGGCATATATCCTCTTTTTATATTGTATATATATAAGGGGAAATGAGTGATAGCCCCCTAGTTTTGAAAATATATATGAGGAGGCCCAATAATTTTTTTCACCTTAGTCAAAAACCCAAATTCTGATATTAATTAGTGAGAACCCCTGAGCAACTTGAAGTACCTATTCTACCCTTATAGAATCAGTTTTTAGGTTACCACATTTAGGTTACCACATTGAGACACGATTCATATTCTCATTCTCTCTCCACTGTGCCGCAAACCCTAGCCATCTCTCTTCTCTTCCCCTCTCTCTTCTCTCCATGTCTCTCTCTTCTGCCGCTTTTATATTTCATATTCCGCGATTATCTACCTAACACGCGAAGGATCTGGTGACGGCGTCTTTATCGAAGATGGAAGATGATATTTGTAGAATTGAAACGGATGAAGACATAGTTGCTTCCGATGAAGGTGAAAACGTCTTTATCGAGTCGGCGTTCGCCTACAATACCCTGCCACAGGCGATAATTTCTCCAGAGCTTCAATTGCACTTTATGTTGCCGACGAGGGAGAAACCTCTGGTTCCTCTAGATTCGGTCACCGGAAGCCAAACAAAAGCAATTCGAAAGGTAAGTTTTTACTAGGAAAATGTATAATTTTGTATTAATTAATATCCTTTATCTGACAATTAAATTTGGATTCTTAAATGGAAAATCTTTTTTCACGGTGGTTCACATATATTAATCCCAAGTAATTCTTAGATTTGGATTGCACTAAAACTCGATGACGTCGTTTACGAAACCCCTGGCTGTTTTGCTCTAGCCTTCGGTTTAAGCAGGCAAATAAAAAAATACTTTTATACAGATAATAACTTTGAGATTAGTAATTTTGATTTTTTTGACAAAGTCAATTATGGCTTTGGGAGGCATCTGTGTAGGAATGTGATTAGTCAACAAAATTGATTAGCATTTGATAATGTTTTAATAATTTTCCGTTAATTTTTAACTATTTTTCGTTAATTGTATTTCAAAATTTCTTTTTTTTATTAATGATGAGAAAGATATTGGATTTGATTTTGAGGTGAATTATGTATGAATACAACAGTGGAGGAGTTAATTTAATATGGGGTACTTGGAACAAATTGCCCCATCCCTCTAAAATGGAATATATAGTAATATGTAGTAACATGTGCATGTGATTGTGTATTTTCAATTCGATTTTTGTTGTTATGAGTTGATTTATAACTTCAATTTTTAAGGTGAACTTGATTTTTTTGTCACAGGTCTTGGTGTTCGAACAACTTCCATGCAATAAGTTTTTTGCCGAGAGGACATGGTGTTCGTTACTTCAAAACAGTTCTTTTGCAATCGATAGATTGGAATTGTTGTCATGTTCAAATGTAGGATTTGAAGCTATAAATATAAACTACACTATATATGACTATACTCATATAGTCACATGTGGTCATCTACTGTAGTCGTATATAGTCACATGGTCATATACTGTAGTCATATATAGTCACATGTGGTCATATACATGTAGTCATATATAGTCATAAGTGGTCATATACATGTAGTCATATATAGTCACGTGTAGTAGCATATGGTAATATATAGTTATATGTAGTCATATATAGTCACAAGTGGTCATACATGTAATCATATATAGTCACGTGTAGTAGCATATGGTAATATATAGTTATATATAAGCCATGTGATTTTTTGTATAGTGGTCATGATGATAGTGTATTTTCAATTTATTATTTGGTACTAAATGAATTTATAATATCAAGATTCAAATTGTGATTTTAGTTGTTGGTGAAGATGAAGTTTTTTTATATATAAATCAATGGTTTACATAATCGGTCGACCATAATTTTGGGATAAAAAAACAGCACATGATTATATATAACTATACATAATTGAGGTATACATTAGTCATGTGCACACAATTTCAGTACAGTAAATTTATCAAAAATTTGAAAAAAAAATTAAAAATAAAAAAAAAATTTAAAAAAATTAAAAAATTAAACAAATAAAAAAAAATAAAAATTTAAAAATTTAAAATTTAAAAATTAAAAATTAAAAAATTAAAAAATTAAAAAATTAAAAAAATTAAAAAATTAAAATTAAATAAAAAAATACAAAAGAGGTATATATAAAAAATAATAATAAAATAAACATTTATATTTTTTATTGAAAAACTCTATAAAAATGATGAATGCAGGTCCAAAAACTGTTGAATGCAGTTGGCCAATGTTGAATGCAGTTTGTCGTAATGCTAAATGCAGTTCAAAAATACTGAATGCAGTTGGGCAAAAATTGCACATAAGGGCACAATTGTACTTTTCCCTCTGAGGGGGGCTATCTCAAAGAGAGAATTTTAGGGGTGGACCTATCCCTATATATTTTCCATATGAGGGGTGTATATCAAATGGACCATATATATAATCTTAAATATTAAAAACAATATCAATTCCATTTGATTATACCGTATTATATATCAACTGTTCAAAGTTTTTGTTCGATTATTTTATTAATTTAAAACATATTTTCATTTTTTTATATTAACCCGTGCATCACATTAGAATCCTGTTTTCATTTATAAAGGTGTTTGATTTACATCATCGACGTGTTTTAGTCATTAAAAAAAATTGAAATTAGACTTGATCCCGTGCATCGCACGGGTGAGTTAGTAGTATAACATAAAATCGGGGAATTGATTAGCAATTTCTATATTGAAAAGAATATTTTGAAATTTAAAATTATAGGAGAAATAGAGTTGGAGAAAGATAGAATTGTATCTCTCACATATCAAATTCACAGAATAAATTATCGTATTCATATATCGGAATATTGTCAACTACTTTATTTAGAAGATAATTAAAAGTCATATGTCGAAATCAAAGGGAACATGAGCACTACTTATAACATTGTACTTTTTTTCCTTCGACCAAGTTTTTGTCCCCATGGGTTTTTCTTGTCAACGTTTTAACGAGACAGTGTCATGCTCGCAAGTTTCACATAGATATGTACTCTTTTCTCCTTTAATTAGGTTTTGTCCCTACAAGTTTTCCTAACAAGGTTTTTAACGAGGCATATTCCATAGATGATGGACATCCGAGGGGGAGTTTTATGAATTCTTAAAGGTGTAGATGACCACCATTACTCACCATCATCAAGCACCATCTTTCCCACCATTATTACACCATAATACCTATTGATGATCCCATTATAATAGTCTTGTAACTCATGATTTTTGAGAAGTCTTACTAGTGCTAATATTGAGCACAATGTAATATATTTGTACACTTGAATATATGAAATAACATATATAATATTCCGCTACTTTCCTCTTATTCCTTTAGGGTCCATTTGGATGGAGGGATTTGGGGAGAGATTTGATTTGGGGAATGGATTTGAAATGACTCCAATTTTGGAGTCATTTGAAATCCATCGCTATTGCTCCAAAATCAACTAAAAAGGAGGGGTGGGGATTTGAAATCCATCTCCAAATCCCTCAATCCAAACAAGTTCGAGGGATTTGTTATTATGGATTTGAAATCCCTCCCCCAAATCCCTTCATCTAAATGCACTCTTACATTCTTTATTAGTTTCTCAACAAATAAGAACTTTTTCCAATTTTTCCTTTTTTTTGAATGATTTTTGGGGTGGGACGTGTTATAATGGGGATGAGGGTTCTACATGCTATCAGATTGCCGCCAATTGTATCTCTTCAACTCTTTCCTTTCAATTTCCAATTTCTCTCACTATTAATAAGCCCTAGAAAATAGACCCCCCTTTCACATTCGCCACTTTCCCAATGTCTCAAGAATTCTCCGATACCGATTCCGACGATGGGTTCAACGAAGATATGGAAGCCCTAAGAAGAGCATGTCAAATAGCCGGAAAAAATCCCGCCGATGACCAGATTCAACCGCCATCTACAACCGGCGCCGCCACCGCCATTGGCGTCGGTGAGAGTACATCGTCGGAGTCGGAATCTGATTGTGAGGGAGACGATGACCTTCAAATGGTGCGCAGTATTCAGAAACGATTCGCGCCGTCGATGGATACGGAGGACGAACCTCCGACGATGGAGCCCTTGTGTACGCTACCTGCTGACTGGTCTGATAGCGATGATTGTGGGGAAGATTACGAGACTCTTCGAGCTATTCAGCGGCGTTTCGCTGCCTATAATGAAGGTATATGCGGTCGTTTATTCTCCCCTATATTGATTGTGTGTTTAATTTATGAAATTTTGATATGGATATTCAATAGAATCGTATTGAGTCCGGGCGACACTACCAAATGTAAGCTTTATTTGAATGTAAAACTTATAGTATGTCCCAGAGTTTGTTCGAAAAGTTATTAGAATTTGGAAAAACTCGGTAGTCGCGTATCCACGGGTCTGTCTCATATCTAAGCTAAGCCAGGAGGTTACATATTTTTCTTAAATCAAACAAGTATTATATTCTCCTTACTTTTCTATGTGTCTTATTTGATTTGTAAGATAGTAGCATCTTCATATTGGATAATTGAATGTAGGCAGCCCAAAAGACAACACGGAGGACTTTTTGCATAGAACTGTGCAGGTGGGTGATACTATCATAGATTCGGAAAAGGAATCTTCAAATAGCTTTGTTGAGAGAACTAATGCTCGAGAAGGATTTCTCAATTGTGTAGATACAAAAGATCCTACTGAGAAGGAATCGGAAGCAAGTCATGATGCTCATACAAGACAACCTTCTGATGATGTGGCGAAATCGCCACTTAAAAACTCCGACTTTCCAAAGTCTGCACTGGCATTTGTTGATGCTATAAAAAAGAATAGATCTTGCCAGAAGCTCATCAGAACCAAGATGATGCAAATGGAATCCAGGATTGAAGAACTCAATAAGATGAAGGAACGTGTCAAAATCCTGAAAGACTTTCAGGTTGCTTGCAAAAAGAGAACTGGGCGATCCTTGTCTCAGAAAAAGGATGCTCGTGTGCAGTTGATATCATTGCCAAAGCTAAGGGCAAATATGAAGGTCATTTGCTCTCTTATTGTAACTATTTTTTATGAAACTTCATATATGTGTATAAATTTCTGATTCGTTTGAATTATTATCTATTTAGTTTTCTTCCATTGGGAGGTTGGTATAAGGTATCGGTTATAGGGTATCATATCATGTATTTGCTGGAGTTTAGTTTGTATCGTCAGTATTAATTTTTGTTGGCCAATTAATTGCTCATTTTATTCGCCAACTCATGGCTTTATGAAGTGGGTAATGGTTAACATCTAAGTTTATGATGATTTAGATAATGTTTAAATAATTTTTGATGTACTAGGAATTGTTATTTATTAATTTCGACTCTCGTACACAATTGACTCTTGAATAATTTTTGCAGTTCAATGAGAAAATCTCTGCTCAATATAAGGGGCCGCCAGAGAATATGCATGTTGCTAATTACAAAGAGGCATTAAAAACATTTGCTGTCTCTGTTAGTAGGGAGAAGTGGTCAAAGGAAGAGAGTGAAAACCTTGTGAAGGGTGTTAAACAACAGTTTCAGGGAATGTTGCTTCAGCGATCTGTTGATCTACTCAGGTATGATTTCTCTTGGAGTATATTGCTTGTCTACAATGGGGTAACATGGGTATGTTTGTTTGGTATTCACCATTTGCTTAAGTTCATGAACTTTATTGCACGATCTAGGGTGTTAATAGTTAATATACGAACCATTATTTAGCGTATTTTTAAAATGTTCTCTTCAAATCATATGATATTTTTTCCAGAAAGCTAAAAAAGTGACAAAAAAGGGTCATGTCAGCTCTTAATTGAAAATATTGAACCCTTGGTTATTGACATTTTCGTCTCTCAATCATGCTCTCTACACACACATAATAGGTGTTTTCATATGGTAAACTGATCAAATTGAGCTAACTCTTAGGTATGCCAGTTTGAATAGCTGGTTAGTTAACCAATTTATCAGTAAAGTTTGGCAAATTACTAAATTGAATTTACCAAAAAAGTAAAAAAGAGAAAATCTTTCTGGAGGTAATTAAACATAAATAAGAAATAGAATTTTAGTGATGTGTGTGGTTGTAAGCTAGTTTGGAGAATGGTAAAATGATGTCACGTGTTGCGACGGAATGGAATATGAGAAATTTGCTAAATCTGATAATGTATACGAAACTGAATTTCTGGTTTTGGTCAGTTTACCATCTGTCGACATCCCTGATATGCTACGCATTCTTTATTTCCTTCTTTTCTTTATGATTAGTTGTATTGCCACTAACTGCATGCTTCCTTAAATCATTGTGAAAACTCCAATGACTATTGAAATAAGAATTGAATTCTTTTCCTCAAATTTCTAGCATGGTAGTGAAATGGGTTTCACAAAATGTAACTGGCACCCAATCTTTAGATTAGACTTGAATGTGTCTTATAGAAGCTAGATTGAACCGCCATGTCATCTTTCAAAATTTTGGGCAGTCTGTAGGATAAGCCTTTGCTGAAAAGAGTGTATACTTCACTTCTCTTGTTGGTCATTCGCTTATACATGTATAACCGTATAACTGTTATGGTGCTTAAAGCTCCACATTAATTATGTTCTTTGCTCAGTAGGTCACAAAACCAAATTAATTGTGTTCGTTTCCAAAGGAGTATATCAAAAGCATTCTAAGTTTGAAGTTCAATGATAGTTGCCTTTCTAACATAGAGGAGGACTTGGAACAACAAACTAATGTATCAAAAGCATTCGCTTATATCGCGCATTACATTGAAGTAGCTTATGTGTCCTCCCAAAGCAACTCCGCACAGTGTCTTCATAGAAATCCCATGTGCGTGTGCAGGTCTTTGTTTTCCTTCTATAGAATAACTCAGCGATCCCCCGTTCTGCACTAGGTTCATTGTGCCCACTAAACCCATTTGATTCAGTTAAATCTTAACTGCATGGTATGTATTGAAGCTCTTCATGATTGATGTTCATAGCCTTAAATTGTGTAAATACTCAGCGAACGTGCCACTTAACTTGATTATGGGTTATACATCTCTGAAGATAATATTCTTTTAACGGAGTATATGCTTTACAGTTTTTTTTTTTTTTTTTTTTTTTTTTTTTTTTTTTTTTTCTGTTCCCTTTTTTTACGTTTGAAAATAAAAATAAAAATTGGCCTTATAAATGGCCTTCAATCGAACTCACTGGGAATTGAACCCTTGACCTAATACTACCTTTCACAACCCAATACCACTCAGGCAATGCCTTCGCGGTAGTATATGCTTTACAGTTGTCAGTTTATACTGTGTACTCAAAACATATGATGCATAAATTCGAAAGAATAGATGCAGACTGTCACGTAAAAAAAATTCTACTATTTGTCTAATTCCCTAGAATTATATGATTGAACCAAATACATGCAAGCATTCATCGTAATAAAATATAAAAGATATTCAAAGTACTGTTAACATTGGAAAGTTTGGCAAAATTATGCTACTATTTTTCTATTTCCCTAGAAGTATATGATTGAACCATATGCGTGCAAGTATTCATCGTAACAAAATATAAAAATTAATCCAAGTATTTTTAACATTTAAAAAGTATGGCGAAGTGATTAATTTCTTATTAGTGTCCATAAGGATATGGCAGAAAATTATGCTCAAGTAATTTTGAAAAATGAAAAATTAAAAGATGCATGAAGATGGTAATGGTTGGTTTTCTGAGTTTTACTCGAGTAAGGTAGTATCTCCTCAACAAAGTTAAATAAAAAGATAAAACTGTTAGGTGGTCGATTTATGTTCTAACATTAACTGAAGGAGAAGAGAACAACAACATTACTGCCTTTGCTATGTATCGGGGGTTATTATATGCTTAAATTATTCAAACATTTAGGCTATGTTTGGTAAGCTTTTGGGCTTCCATTTCCATTTTATTTTGGAGAAAGATGTTTTGGGAGAAGAATTTGAAAATTAAATAAAGTTTGTTTATGTTTTGAGAGGAGATAATTTGTACTGTAGCAAGTCAAATCATGTCTGAAAGGTGTTGGGAAAATGTATTTTGGAAGAAGAATTTAAAAGATAAAGTGATTTGATTTTGTATTTTAGTGAAGACAATTTTCACTGTAGCGGTCAAATCATGTTTGTTAGAGAGAGAAATATTTGAATTTGTTTTGGGGAAAGTTTTTGAAAATAGTGTAGAAAGATAATTTTCATTTTGGGGAAAGTGTGAAAAGAATTTGAAAACGTCACCAAACATAGCCAAGTTCTCATATTTTGTTGTATACATGAAATTTCAGTTCTTATGTTTGTGCTACTGAACGGTTGATTCTAGTTTATTAGTTTCATTTGCATCCTTATTTATCTCATATCCATTACTCCAAATATGTGTCTTTATATGTCTATGTGGTTTGTGATTGTTGCTCCATAGCCTCCAATTCATCATGGAGTAGTCGAAGTTAGACACATTTTTTATTTAGTTATCTCAAGGAGGAAATGACAGAGAAATCTGGGTAGCATAGGGTTATGTTTCCAGTGCCATTGTTTCTATCGAGAATTTGGTATTGTATTGGTTTGTGTAAAAAATGAGTTTGTCTGGATGAATGAGATTACAATAGATTTTATATTTGTTAAAAAAGAAAAAAAAATTTGGTTGAACACTGAAGTGAAATGGTGGAGGTAATTGCGATATTTGTGGCTATGTCTAGGGTTTCAGACTAGTACTGTAGGATTCGAAAAACTAGGAAGTTAGTGGATCATACTTTTAAATGAGATTGGGATTTACGAAAATGGGTTAGTCTACTGAATATGAGATAGTTCTAGTGGAATACAGATCAAATAAACATGTTTCCAGCCCTATGGATAGTATAGAATTGAAAATCAGGGTTTGATATGGTAAACATATGTTATAACTTATACGTGATTCGTCCCCTTGATACTTTGATTGAGTATGAGATCTATATAATTACCACATTATTTCTTGTCCATGCCAGTTTTTGCTTTCTCTAGGCTTCTGTTTTTTTTTTTCCATAACTAATTCTATAGCAAATTAATAGAGCTTGATTTTCCAAATGACCCAGTCTTATTCACTGTGTTTCTTGTTTGCAGCGAGGAGGATGGATCGTGTGATGTTAGTAACGTTGACAGCATCATTGGATCAATAAAAGATGTTGACATTACACCAGAGAAAATAAGATTATTCTTGCCTAAGGTTAACTGGGAGCAGCTAGCTGGTATGTATGTACCTGGTCGTTCTGGTGCAGAATGTCGTTCAAGGTATGTTAGGACATTGATTGATGAATGAACGTTTTAGCTGCAACATTCGTGTTTTGTCTTGCTTAAGTCTGAAATTGGTTGAAGGCAAAAAATCATATAGATGCACTCTTTATCAATCAATGGTATCAAATAAAAATCTCAGTAAATAGATTTTGTGGACGCATCACATAATTATCATTTTGAAATGATATTTTTGTTAATTACATATTATAGTTTAAGTTATTTTAATGTTTGCTCTCTGGCATGCCACACATAGTGGTATTGGTACATGCTTACAGCCTAGGCATGCAACAATGAAAGAAACTTTTAGGCCTCGCTCGGTTGCCACTATTAAGCCCTATTGGCTAAATAGTAGGAGTTGATAACATGTTCACTAATTAAGGCTAGCTACATAATTTAAAGCCCGCAGTTAAATGCCACTATTCGATTAAATTAGTATTTGTCCTAATTGTTATTAATCTTCTAGGTGGTCACTAAAATGCAAAAAGACCATTTTATCCATAAAAATACTATTAAAATGATATGATTATTGTTAAATAAGGAATATTGTTGAGAAATCACATGTAATACTAGATTTTAACAATTTTAATACTAGAACTAATATAAGGAATTGAGCATGTTACTATATTTAGTTAGTGAGTCAGTATTAATCCAATCCAATGTAATCCAAATGATTAGAAATATGTAGCCAAACAAGGCCTTAATACTCGAAAATGCTCCTTTTGTATGATTCTTTGGAAAGCATGGAAGTAGAAAAGACAGTTTATTTACTCAGTAAAAATGGTTGTGTCCTAATTGTGTAGACATCCTTGGAACTATTTGATTGTTGAGATATGAACAATCTCTCATCCGTTACATAATTCCATTTGCAGGTTCCTAAACTTTGAAGATCCATTAATTAATCACAATCAATGGACTGCTATGGAGGACAAGAATCTTTTGTATATTGTTCAACAAAAGGGAGTAAGTAACTGGATTGATATTGCTGCATCACTGGGAACAAATAGGACCCCTTTTCAGTGCTTAGCACGTTATCAAAGGAGCCTTAATGCTTCAATACTTAAAAGAGAGTGGACCAACGAGGAGGATAACCATCTTCGTGCTGCTGTAGAAACTTATGGTGAGAGTAATTGGCAAGATGTTGCTTCGGTGATGGAAGGACGGACAGGTACCCAATGCTCTAATAGGTCAGTTAACATTCTCACCATTTAGTTTTTTGTGTGTTTGTAAGCTTCTTGAATTTAAAATTGAGGCTCTGCAGCTCCAGTGGATACACCAGAGAGGAGTGAATGAAGTATAAAATAGGATGAAACCAGATTTATTAAACATTCGACCCATAATGCATTGATACAATCCAATAACTAAAAACTTTAAAAATCAGTCATAATTGCAATTTGATTGTGGGAGAATTTTTTTTGTCAATTTTATGGATTTGTGATGTTGGCTTCAAATACTTCAGTGTGCTTGGTCTTTGATTGTATTTAAACTTAATTACTATTTGAGCCAGCTCTCAAACCTTATGTGTCAGCTCGATTAATTTGCATACTTACTCGGATCTCTTTTTGCTCTTTTTCCAGTGCCAGACCTTAATGTAGACAATGGTCTTGATTTCATTTTAGTTGCCGCATAAGCAAATTCTGACCTTTTAAAATACTGAAACTTATAAATCCCTAAGTCCTAACCGATCACTTCTTGTTTGAAAGGAGCAACTTTTTGCTTTCATATTGCACTTATGAACTCTTGAGTTCCTGTGTTGGTGAAAGTCAAACAGTAAAAGTCATGGATGATTTTTTTTTTTTTTTATTGCATATTGAACAATTTCCTACGAGAACAACATTATGTAATTGCTTTTGTCCTGGTTAAATAAACTCATTTATATGTATGATGAATTCCCCTTTCTTTAAAAACGCCATGGTAGACTTTCTACTAGTTTTTGCGCTTATAATTACTAACTATTCAACTTCATGGGGAGAATGCAGATGGTTGAAAACACTTCATCCAACTAGGGAAAGGTGTGGAAAATGGACTGCACAAGAAGATAAACGCTTGAAAGTTGCTGTAACATTTTTTGGGCCAAAAACATGGAAAAAAGTAGCTAGGTATGTGCCTGGTCGGACACAGGTTCAGTGCAGAGAAAGGTATTCTTTTGATAATGATATGTACACTCATTATTTATCTCTATTATATCTACAAAAAAATGCAATATTAATACAATTATGGGCATTGGTGGTGACAGATGGGTCAATTGCTTAGATCCATCCCTGAAAATGGCTAAATGGACTGAAGAAGAAGATTCAAAGTTGAAAGAGGCCATTTCAAAGCATGTTTTTTGCTGGTCCAAGGTTGCTTCATGTGTTCCCGGTCGTACTGATAATCAGTGTTTGAGGTATTGATATATTATAACCGAAGTGTTTCAACATCTGTTTTTCTCTGTATGCATGTGATTTTGTCTCTTCTGATTCTCAATGTTGTACTCTGTAAATTACTAGGAGATGCAAGGTGTTGTTTCCAGGTGAATTTCGTCGGCTTCAAGCTGCCAAAAAGATACAAAAGGTTGCATTAATATCGAACTTTGTTGATAGAGAATCCGAAAGACCTACCCTTGGACCTAATGACTTTCGTTTGCCAGAAACATACCGTATCACCGAATCTGAAGATGCTGATCCTTCTAGAAGAAAAAAGAGAAGAACAAGGTATGATTTCAGTGATTACTCTTGGTTGTATATTTCTTGCATCCGAGACTTACACTGTTTAATTGATCAGGTCCAGGCAGACGGAGACACATGAAAGTATTGAAAAAGATGCTCTTTCTGGGTAAAGCATTGTCTATTAGTGTCTCTTCACGTTCATTTGTGCTATATGTTATCTTTTTTGTTGTTTCCATCTCTATTGAATGTAAATTGTTTTTTTTTTCCTACTGCAGTGACACATGTCCTGAAGAAGTTTCTAGGTTAACAAATGGCAATGTGGTTGAGAATTTGCATGGTAGACGCATGCCTAGGAAAGCGAAGAGCAAGAATTCACGTTTGATGGAGAAAAATCCTTGTTCTTCATCATACAGTCATCGAGATACAATGCTCGGTGAGGAGGTTATGAATTCTCGACCAAATGATGGTAAGAGTAACAGAAAACATCAGCAGCAAAAGAAGAAATCTCGGTATGTTTCAATAGTTTTACGGTCATAGATTCTGGTGTTCTTTTTCCTGCGTGACTGGCTTCTGATTATTTTTATTTGCAGTGTAAAATCAAAACCTGTGGAGGGTGACCCTACTACATCTGGTGCAGTTTGTGAAGGAAATATATTGATTGAACCAGACCACAATGAAAATAAATGTACTGACCCTACAGAAGAGTGTTTATTACCAACTATCGCAGATCCAAATCTGCAGTGGGTAAACGTGGGTACTGAACCTAATTGCGATGATTCCACGCAAAGTAAGAAGGCTAAAAAGCTTCAACCGAGAAGGTGTCGTGGTAAAATGCTTGTGGAAGAGCCGGAGGCTACACAAGCAGGGGACGCAACATTCTTTGAGAAGGGAAAGGAAATGGAGAAGAAGAAGAAGAAGAAGAAGAAGAAAAGGACTGACGAAACAAATAATTATCTAACACATTTCCCTGACTCGATGTCACTTGCGGATATTATGAAAGAGTTACAGGCTCTCCGTGGAATTAAAGCTAGAAAAAGAAAGTGTGTCGATTTGACTCCTCCTGCACATATGCAAACCAAGACAACTGTTCATACGGACGCATGTTTAAAAAATTTAGGAGATGAATCGTCTTTATGTCATGTGGAGATTAATCAGTGTTTTAGCAGCGATGGTGGTGTTGCGGTATTAGGGAATTCAGAGGATTCTGCTGCTGCATCTTCTGTCAGGGACAACATTATTTTATCCGAAATCGAAAAGGAAAAGGAAAATTGGCAGTTACAGATTGGTTCCAGCATTGATGCCTCTGTCTCCAATCAGTCCAAAAAAAGCACTAGAGAAGAAACTTGTTCTACTGAGACGGTTGAAGTAGAAGCGGGATCAAGAAGCAACGATCAAGATTGCCCAAATCAGGCGGCATATTTTGATATAACTCCACCTCTGCAGACTTATTTTAGGAAAAAACAGAAGGTATCTGATAATGTGGATAAGGCCTTTCCATAACTGCTCATATGATGAGGCAGTTTTTTGTATTCAGATACTATTCAATTGCTTCATTTTTGAGGAAGTTATTGTTCTTTTCGTTTACATAGTTATTCTTTGTTTATTTTGTTGGCAAATTTGATTTGTATTTGGTGGATTTCATGTTTGAGATCGGAAATTGTCGACGTTGAAAATCAAATGGAATCTTCTTGTTTCGTGAGCTTACAACAATCTTACAATGAAGACTGTCAAATATTGAGCCTGATCTGAAATCTCTACTTCTATAACACGATTTCCTAATTGAGTAATTGACAATTTCGCCATTACACAAATCAGTTGACTGGCCAATAATCCTTAACAACATAATAGGGACACCAAATTTAACTTTATATCATGGTTTAGAATTCTAATACATCAGATATAGTAATCATTGGCAGTACATTGGTCATAATATTTGGGTGCGTGGCTTATCTAATAGAAGCAATATGAACAATTTATTATTATTATTATTTTTTTTTTTTTTGGTAATGAAGAAACCCGCAGCCAACCATATAGGTGCACTGGGTAAACCTACACTCTCGTATAATAGCTTGCAAACCATACGAGAGATGTAAACCACACTAGGCTAACCATGTGTAACAAGCTCGACCTAGCGACCGTTGGCAAGGGGATTCGAACTTGGGTCAATTGACACAAACTCATGATTGTATGAGTAGATCGTCAGGAATCTCAATTTTCGTCACATCATCATTTGTATCACTAGCAGTACCATCACCTATACTCAACACCCAACCTGAGAAATTTTCTAAGTCACCTAAATCAGAATTTGTAGAACAAAGACGCATATTTTTCGTCAATTTCAATACTTTACAGTTCCTCTACGAATATGAAAATTTTGAAATGACACGTAGGATTTGTCTAATACCACCCGCAAAAATAACTGTTTTCTCACCAAGTAATTTGTTATTATTATCATGTACAAGCGCTTTAATATATCTTTTAAATTTCTGTCCACATACTCAAAGAAATGCTGGTGAGTTATCAGAGCTTCATCCTAAGCGATCAACTTCGCATTTATTATCAAATCGGCAAGGGGAGCGTCACACGTAATATGCAAGTTGATTCATCAGCAACGTTAAAAGGAATTACAAACCTAGGTTGCCTGAACCAACAAAGTTGTTATCCCACTTGAAATTGTTGTCTATTTCACGATTTGATCTTAAAGTTATCTAGAGTATGCTTCAAATAAATGTCTTACCAGTACCTCCATAACCGTAAAGGCAAACTAAACCTCCAACTTTTCATTTCTACAAAGCATAACATTATCATTTACATCCTTTGTTTGTCATTTCATCATTTACATCCTTAAATGACCTACAAAAAAGTGTTAATCTTAAGAGAATTGAGCTCAAAAGTGTGTCTTCCTTGGAGGACCATTTCCATTATAAATACTAGAAGTATCAGTTGATTATCAACCTTCTAAAAAGGTAACTACTAATATACAAATCTATGCAGTTACAGCCTACAGTTACAATATCCTAACTAAATGAAAGAACAAAAAGTAACTGTACAATAGCATAAAATCTGTTGCCTTAAATGCACTGCTAATTCCATTGACACCTCCCCTCAAATTGATGCTGGTATATCCAGAAGCATCAATTTGTTTACTAGAGAAATATGATGCGGACGTGTAATTGATTTTGTGTAGATATCAGCAAGTTGTAAGGTTGTGGAGATATGTGGTAGAGTGATAACTTGCCGATCATAGGACTCCCGAATAAAGTGACAATCAACATCCATGTGGTTTGTGCGTTCGTGATAAACAGGACTTGCTGCAATTTGGATCGCATTAGTATTGTCAGCATATAGTGGAGCAGGTTGATCTTGTTGAATACCAAGCTCTGTAAGAAGACCACACAACCAAATTGTCTCAGAGCATGCAGTAGACATTGCTCGGTATTCTGCCTCTGTGGAAGATTTGGATACCGCGTCTTGTTTCTTGCATTTCCATGAAATAAGAGCATCCCCAAGAAACATGCACCACCTAGTAGTAGACTTCATGCTGTCAGCAGGGCCGTTCCTAGGAATTCGGGGGCCCAAGGCGAACTATGTAGATCTTTGAAACGGGGGCCCCTACCAGGGGCAACATTGTCTGTTTTTTTTGTTCGAAGTAATATAACAAAGTAGGTTAAAAAACTTGGGGGTACGGGGGCATCGCCCCCGATTTTTTTTTTAGAGGTGTTGAGTGTAAGTTTTACACTCAATTTATATTTTCTTATGAGGTTTTTTGTGGAATTATAGGAATTTTAATTGCACAAGGAAACTCTTATATATTACCAAGTCTTAATTAAACCTATATAAGATAACCTCAAAGATGAAAATCTGGACTTTTTTTACGCAATCTTAGAACAAGAAGAACGAGGTAACAGAGAATCGAAGACAAAGACTTGACGAATCTTCATCATATTTTTTTATTTTATTTCTTTTTCTAAATATATATACTTTTATTATAGATATATTATCAATAAATAGTAATGTATAAGGACTATTTTTCTAAAATCGGGGGCCCCTAAAATTCATAAAAAATCGGGGGCCCAAGGCGACCGCCTTTCTCGTCTTCCCTCAGAACCGGGCCTGGCTGTCAGGACAACTTGCCCAATCCGCTTCGCTATAGGCTTGTAGCTGGAGTGAAGAACCAGTAGGAAAAAATAGTCCACAACTAGGTGTGCCAAGAATGTATCTAATGATCCGTCAGAGCAGATAGGTGGATGTGGCGAGGAGCTTGCATGAACTTGCTAACAGTATGGACAGCATACGAGATGTCTGGACGCGTGATGGTTAAATAGATAAGACTGCCAACCAACTTCCGATATAAAGAAGTTCCCCTTCGTCCCGACGATGTTTGACATTGATTTCCATAGGTGTTTTAACAGATGTAGTGTCCGTAAGGCCAGCATTTTTTTTATAGGCTGCGGCTATATGCAATACTAATTCCACTTGTGCAAGACAAAATTAAAAAAAAAATTCAAAAGATTCCATTTTATTAAGATGAAATGACAAGTATACCCATAAATTAAATTGGCTTTTGTTTGCTCATGCAAGACCAAATAACAAATAATAAAAAAATATGAAACAACTAAATTTCGACATTAAGGTGTCGAATATATGTCCATTCGACACCTTAATGTCGAAATTTAGTATATTTGGACTAATTTTCTAGCAGTTACATTTCGACACTAAAGTGTCGATTTTGTACTCCAAAATCGACATCTCAATGTCGATTTGTACCTATAAAATTCGACATGTACATGTCGACCGTGTCTGTGCGAGATTTAAAAAAAAAATATGAAACAACTAAATTTCGACATTAAGGCGTTGAATATATGTCCATAAATTCGACACCTTAATGTCGAAATTTAGTATATTTGGACTAATTTGCTAATAGTTAAATTTCGACACTAAGGTGTCGATTTTGTACTAAAAAATCGACATCTCAATGTCGATTTTTGCCTATAAAATTCGACATGTACATGTCGACTGCGTCTGCGCGGGATTTTTTTTGGAAAAACGATATTCTAGCTAAAAAACACATATAAATGCATACTTTCTTGGGTTTTTCCACCGTAGATTCTTCTATTTTGATGTCTTATGACTCCATACTTGTCATCTTTGTAAGATTTGTTGAGTTTTGATGATTTTGAAGGTTTAGGTTTTCTGGATTTATAGATGAGGAAGGAGAAAGGTTTTGTTGGAGAAGATGAGAGTTGGTCTTGTGGTTTTGTGATAGGGTTTTTTTTTTTGTTTTTGAGTTTTTGGTATTGCACATTTGGAATTTTCTATTTTTTAACAAGTAAGGATATTATAGTATTTATACATTGAAAAATTTAATTTGGTCTTGTACAAGTGGAATTAGTCTTGCATATAGCCGCAGCTTTTTTATATTGTATCTTGCATTTAGGCATTAATAATAAAGAAGAAAAAAAAAGAGAAAAAAAGGGGGTTTTATATTTGTGCTAGTTAAATTTGATTTTCTGTTGGAACTGGATATAGTGAGCCTTCTTCTTATATTCCCACGGTTTCTTGTGAAGTTTGGCAAAATAAATTGTCTTGATTATTTAATGTTGAACTTAGTATCTCTATCATTCGATTTTCACTTTAAACTGTCATGGGATAGTGATTTGAGATTTTGTGTGGTAGTGGTTGTTGTTCCTTCTTTTTAAATGCAAAAATCCACCAGTCCATGGTAGTTTATCTATGTATGGTGATTGCTCATAAATGGAGAGAAAAGAACGTTGAAATTGGTATGAATACATGAGGAGTTCAGACAGTGCAAGAACACATGGGTACTTCAGACAACTCTTGCGACAGTGCATTCAGGCAATTTTTTGAAGAGAGACAAAAAATTTTGCTATTTTATTTTTGCTGCTCTAGATCGTGATATTTTTCAATAACAATCAAGATCAAAATTTTCTTCTTCTGTGTAAAAAAAGATCGCTTCTTCGCGAGAGGGGCTTAAAATATATCGTGAGAAGATCGATCCGTCGACTGAAGGGATACAATATTGAAGGCGGTTCATCCGTGCGGAGTGGTGGACGTACTGCAAATTGAAGATCACAATTCGAGTATTGTACAAGAACGACGTCAACAAAGAGGGAATTTTTAGTTTTGAATAAGTCCAATTATTGTACTCTTAAAAGTGAAATTAGTAAATTCTTGTTTGAAGGTCCCCGTGGATTAGGTTACGTTTGTATCTGAACCACGTTAAAATTTGTGTCTCGTTTATTTTGTTCGTTTACAAACTATTGCGGCACATAAAAAATAGTAACAAAAAATTGAATATGACACAAATAATTAATATTAGCACGAAATAAATCTAACAATTATATTACCCAACATTTGAATCTATGAGTCCATGTGGATCAATATCTGGAATTTACTATTATGCAAAATGCGATAATGCATATTTGCAGTTATTTATAAGTAGGTTTTGCACGTATTAAGTTTTTGGAGCCGTTACGGGAGACCAATTTGATTCTATCTTTGTTGATATTGTTAACAATTATCTGCATATTAATTTAGCCATTTAACCTGCTTTTTTTTTTTTTGGTTTGATATTTATTTTGATTGTTTATTCTTGTTTATTCTTATGCGTAAAAAATTGGAAATCCTACCTTATGATATCGAAATTGAAAGGACATTTCGAATGAGAAGAGCCACACGCAGTCAACAGAATGAACCAATGGTGGACAACCAGAAAATCATGAGCGCCTTACTTTAAGTGCGAACAGGAAGAGGGCAAGAACGCGAGCAATGAAGAGCGAACCCACCACCTGAACGAACAATGAGGGAATACCGCACTTTGAATGCGAACGAGAACGATTCACGGATCAAGAAACCAACGATTGCTGCAAACAACCTCGAATGAAGTCGGTCACATCAATATGGTTTCAGTGAACTAATTCTTTGGGGCAACAACTGTTCACCTCATCATAAAAAAAAATGTTGATCCAGATCTCCATTTAGCCGATTTCTTGAAAATTTGTGACAAGATCGACATAAAACGGTGTCTCTGATGATGCTATTTTGCTGAAGGTGTTTTCATTCTCGGTCCGAGTCAAGCCGAAAAGCTACCTTTATATTAAAAAAAAAAATAGCCAATTCACACTAACTCAACGGGTCTATGACCGTAGAAAAAACTATTAATAGTAGAAAACTATATACTAAATTTCATTTATGAAAGAAATATATGATTTTCTTTTTAACTTCACACGAGATTAAAAATGTATAGCTAATAATTTTGCACTTTATACATGAATGATAACATAATTATTGCTTAATTTTTACTTTTATCTAGGAGTGTGAACGAGCTGAGCTTGGCTGTTTTGGCATGCTCGAGCTCGAGCTTGAGTCCATTTTGCCGATTTTGATTTTTTTTTAAAATTTTGTTTTGAATTATTAATTTTTGTATTAAAAGTTATTTATAGTATAGTGAAAAAAATATAAAATAAATAATGAACTGTTTATATAATTTTTTAATTTTTTTATGTACTTTATATTATTATTATAATATTTATATTATTATGCATATTCTAAGTAATATAGATTTGCTTCTATTAAAATACTAGTAATATTTATTATTAGACTATTTACTATTTAGTTATTCGGTAACTAATACGATAATTTCATCTTTTTAGTAGTAGTAGTAGTAGTAGTAGTAGTAGTAGTAGTAGTGGTAGTAGTAGTAATAATAATAATAATAATAATAATAATAATAATAATAATAATAATAATAATAATAATAATAATAATAATAATAATAATAATAATCATCTTATATATAAAAGAAAGAAAAGCTAGGACAACCTAAGAAACCCCAGTGATATTTGTAAAAAAATAATAATATTATGTGTATATATATATTTTGCAGTCATTTTTCTTTCTAATTACTTCACACCAAATCTCGATTAGCACAGTCTTGATCCACGACACTTATATTTTATAATTGTTATTATTATTTTTATCTCCTATTATCCAGTCTATTTTTTCTCAAATTCCTCTTTGTTTTATTTACTAGTAATTCACCCGTGCGATGCACGGGGATAAATTAAAAACATTAAAATGAGTTAATGTATAAAATTAACGAAGAAAAATTATGTCGAGAATGCTAAGAATACAACCGAAAAAAAAAAAAATCGTGTCTTAATCAATCAATAAAACATCTGCATATAGAATAAACTGACAACATTCTAAAAACCATCCACGTTAAAATGTAGCAAGTAACTCCCATACTGAAATCAAAGCATCGCACCAATCTTGCACATGAATCTGATTGTTGTTAAGGAGACAATGAAACTACAATCAGATATATGATAGGAGAACAAATAACTTGTTATTTTTCCACATTTTCAATATATAAGTTAAAGACGTTACGTAGATAACGAATACTTATTTATATATATATATATATATATATATATATATATATATATATATATATATATATATATATATATATATATATATATATATATATATATATATATATATATATATTGAAAAAAACAACGTTAAACATAAATAAAACTAATATATGTGTTTGCCAATGTGTACCTTTATATTCTTTCGAATACTTCTTTGTACACGACGTTGCTAGTAACACTGGACAACTCACCGGATTCGCCCTTTATTAAAATCTTTATTCCAGATCTACTCTTCACCCGAGACAACGCTACGTACAATTGACCGTGACTGAAAACAGGCCTTGGAAGGTACAATCCAACGTGCGAGAGAGTTTGCCCTTGACTTTTGTTGATTGTCATGGCAAATGATATAATCACCAGATACTGACGTCTTTGAAATTTAACTGGCAATGTGGAATTCAAAGGTATCAAAGTCATCCGAGGAATAAATACCATGTCGCCAACATTCTTACCGGATAATACTTTGCAACTAATTACATGCATGCCCAGTCTTTCAAATTGGAGACGATTTCCATTGCACAAACCTCTTGCTTGATCGATATTCCTAATGAGCATGACGGGAACTCATTTCTTTAATTTTAGCTCATGTGGCGGCAGACCGGAGCACGATATTGTATTGAGAAATTCGGTGGAATAAATTTCTGCATTAATCTCGGAACCTGCTTCGTCCATGCACAGACTGTCAGAGCTCAGGTAAACCTTTTCCTCTTCTTCAATAAGTGACGACAGATAATCGTTCACATATATAACACTCTCATTTGTAGGCCCCAAAATGGCCCTCCCTTGAAAGAAATGAGGATTGGCAATGTTATTCAACAAATCCGGATACACAAACTGCAGTAGCTCTGAAAAAGCATCATCTGATTCTCGAATCAGCATGTCCTCAGGAACTTCAATCGAGGTCTCACCATCATTGTAGTTTCCAGCTTTTCCGTTTCCAATTCTCATAATCCATTCTGCAAATTCCCTTATTTCATCTTCGTTAGATGAAGATGCATTCAACTGAAGCCTCATGTTTTTATGCAACCTCATGACACGGCATTCTCTCCATAATGGTGATGAATTGATCGTAGCATGTACGATGTCTTGCCTCGATGCTTTAAGTACAACAGGTAATATATGTCTAAAGTCACCACCAAGTACGATAACCTTACCGCCAAAAGGTTTTTCAGAATTCAAAATCGATCGCATGGTTCTGTCTAATGCTTCAAAACAAAACCTATGTATCATCGGGGCCTCATCCCATATAATAAGCTTTGCTTCAATCAACAGCTCTGCTTGAGGACTTTGTTGTTTGATGCTGCAAGTGGAGCTCTCATGCACAATTATCGGGAGTCCAAATCTAGATTGTGCTGTTCTACCACCCGGAAGGAGCAATGAAGCAATACCGCTCGAGGCAACATTAATGACAATGCCCTTCTCAGAACGAACAGCGGCGGAAAGTGTGTTCCAAATAAATGTCTTCCCGGTGCCCCCATGGCCGTACAGGAAAAACATACCTCCACTGTTCTCCGACACTGCATTCATGATCGTGTCGTAAACTTTTTTCTGGTCAGGTGTTATAGACGATAATAACTTTTTTCTGCATTCATGAATATTATTTTTTCGAACAGTAATATTATTAATATTATTGTCTAGGACAGTTAAATTACTGTTGGAGACAGTAATTTAACATCCAAGGCAGTAATATTAATTAAAATAATTTTTTTTAAGGAAAAAAAAAAAAAGGTCAATTAACAATTAAATTACTGTGTTCGACAGTTAAATAACTGCCGGAGACAGTAATTTAGCAACGAATACAGTAATATTAATTAAAAATATTTTTTTTAAGAATAAAAAAGTCAATTAACAGTTAAATTACTGTCTCCGACAGTTAAATAACTGCTGGAGACAGTAATTTAGCAACGAATACAGTAATATTAATTAAAATATTTTTGAAGAAAAAAAAAAAAAAAAAAAAAGAGTCAATTAACAGTTAAATTATTGTCTCCGACAGTTAAATAACTGCCGGAGACAGTAATTTAGCAGCCAAGACAGTAATATTAATTAAAATATTTGTTTAAGAAACAACAAAATTATAAAAAAAAAAAAAAAAAAAAGTCAACGCCGGAGACCCGGTTGTCAACGGCAGTTGACCGTCCGGAAAAAAAATTCAGGAAAAAAAAATTTCAAAAAAAAAAAACAAAAAAAGGTCAACGGCGGCGACCGGCGGTCTCCGGCGGTCAACGCCGGTCAACGTCAAGTTGTTAATTTGTTAAAGGGATTATTTGTCAAAAGCCCTCCATTACACAAGTCTAATTACAGTAGGTCCAATTTTTTTAGAACTTTTTGAAATAAATCCATTTCAGCATTAAATAATAAAAAATAATAAATTATCACTATTTTACCCCTAACTTAAATAATGAAACCCTAACTTAAATAATGAAGGATGTTTGACATAAATTAATTACTAATTAGCACCGAAAAACAAGTCCCAAAGGAATTCAACCCAAATCCAACTCTTCAACACTGACTCGGGAAAACCATTCACACAAATTTCACTCACTGTGTGAAGAAAAAACCAAAAAAAAAAAGTTAATGGTTATAAATATTCCAGATCCGGCGGCGGAAAGTGGAGGATATGCATGTGGAGGAGCGGCGGCCGCCGCTGTGGAAGTCTTCCGCCGACGAGGACCACCGTGGAGAAACTCCGGCGCCGCCTATCGGACATCTTCTTCCCCGACGACCCGCTTCATGGGTTCAAGGATCAGACCCGGTTCAGAAAGTTGGTAATCGGGCTATAGTTTCTCTTCCCTGTTTTTCAGTGGGGCCTGGATTATAGTTTTGAATTGTTGAAATCCGATGTTGTTTCTGGGATTACAATTGCTGAGTCTCGCAATTCCACAAGTATATTAATTAAATAAATATCTAGAACTTTTAATCTTTTTGTATTTTGCGTTTTTTTTTTTTTTGATTTTGTGATTTTGTGATTTTGTTAAGGTTGTGTTTGTGATTTCAACGGGTCATCACATGCCTCTCTTATGCCTCTTACAATCTGGAGCGACCGCACCACCGCCAACGACAAAATCCAAATAATGTTTGATTTATATTCATCTGTAATGGTTCTATTGTAATTTTTGTTAGCTGATTGTATTTTTGTATTGAAATCAACGATGAAGATTCTGTAATGCAGTCGAAATTGAACCATCAAACCTTGGGATTTGGTTCGGCAAGAAAAAGGTCATCGACATGGAACTCATTGTTGGATGGTGATGGCTCCACAGGTAATTTCTTTAATTTAATCATCATTCACGCATGCCAATTGGCTTCTGTTAATTAAGTGACTTTATATCGTTTCTCGTTAAACATAACTTTATATCGTTTCTCGTTAAACATAACAGTCAAAAGAGCCGTAGTTTGGCTGAATCGACTCTTAACAACTCTTAACAGAGGCGATGTTTCGAGTTCTGATTCCGAAGAGGGCACGAGTACGAGCACCGGCGGCACAACGATGGAAAGAATCGTCGAAAAATTGAAGAAGTTCGACTATAAAGACGACATCGATGACGAGAGTGAGGGTACAAAGGGAGTGATCGAAAAGGGGTCGATTGAGGACATATTCCATGTTGAGGAATGAATATTCCCGAATACACGAGGCGGGTTTTCGGAAAAATCCCTGTTCGGAGACGAGAATGTGAACTTCCCATGGGAGAAGAAAAGAGCAGCCAATGAAGAGAGAGGGGTAGTGTTGACAGTCGAAAGAGCCGTAGTTTGGCTGAATCGACTCTTAACCCGTAGCGTCTCCCTCTTTTCTCCACAACCCACTCCCACATCCACACCCACACTCTCGTTGCCCCACCGGACGACCACATCCACACCCTCGCGGATTTTTATAGTGGTTTTCAATATTTTTACATAAACCACTATAAAAATCTGTATAAATAATTATAGTGGTTTTCAATAATTTTTGTACAAATTTTTATATAACTGTATATACATAGTGGTTTTTATGTTGACATAGTTGTTATACAGAGTGGTTTTCAAGTTTACATAATTGTTATACAGAGTGGTTTTCATGTTATATAATTATATACATAGTGGTTTTCATGTTGTATAATTATATACATAGTGGTTTTCGTGTTATATAATTGTTATACATAGTGGTTTTCATGTTTATACAGAGTGGTTTTTATGTTTATATAGAGTGGTTTTTATTTAAAAAAAACTGGAAATAAAAAATAAATAAATAAACCATTTTCAAAAAAAATCGAAATTAAGAAAAAAGAAAAACCATGAAAAAACAAAAATAAAAATAAATCATTTTTTTTTAAATTAAAATAAAAAACATGAAAATATATAAATAAGAAAAATATAATTTAAAATAAACAACCGAATTTTTTTTAATAATAATAATATAATTATAAAATTTTATTTTAAATGGAAATAAAAAAACCATTAAACAAAATAAAAAAGAAAAGGAAAAAAAAACTGAATTAACGTGATGAGGGGAATAATTTTAGGAGAAGATTTGGGTGTAGATTATGGGTGTAATTTTTTTTAAATTAAATAGTTATACTAATTAATAATTAGTGGGGGCATATATGGTTTTTAAAGCCCATTGGATTTATCTCAAATATCATTTATAAATAATGGATTTATCAAGAATTAAAATCCCAATGAAGGGTGTTTGGCATATTGCCCCTTTGTTAAATTAACCACCGCTTACTTCTACGTCAAGTTTTCTTGTCTTTTTTCTTAATACACATTATTTAAAACAGTATAGATGTAAATTTCGAAATCTTTTGTATCATTCAATATAAATTTTAATAAAAATAGCATGTAACTTATAGTAATTAAAAGTTAAAATGAGTCATGAACAATAAAAGAAAAGAAAACTAAAAAATATCTTTTTTTTAAAAAGACCATTATTATGTGCATAACAAATTGAACAAAAAACTAAAAAATGTTACGTATAAAAACATGTGACAATAGCAATTATATGCATTATTATGAGAAAGTAAAATATATAAAAGAATACTATAATCTAAATGATCCAACATATGAAAACACCACTTGCAAAACATTAAAACTTAGAACGTTTCAATATCCGGAATGAAAAAAAAAAACATATTGTTCAAACTAAAATAACAAATTCCAATATCCGGAATGAAAAAAAAAACATATTGTTCAAACTAAAATAACAAATCAAACATGAAAATTAAAGAAAGAAAAATTAAGTATGAGCAATGAAACTACTCCATTTTCTCTAGCTTAATTTTTTTTATCAATTTACTGGTTGAGTGCTGCAGTGTTGGATCGTCGTCTACCTTTTCGAGAACACTATCTCCCGGTCGCTTTGACGATGGAGTAACATAAAGTACTTCACAATCATTATTCTCCGACAATGAAGAGGAATCCTAGCATAAAAGACAATGTTTTTAATAAACATATTGACTACGTATCGATTTTCTAGACCCTTTTGAATAAGGAATGAGAACATGTTTAATCTACCTTTGACGATATAATAGGACCACCATTATAATCATTTACACTTGGGGAATGTCCACCGTTGTTATGATTCTACGTAAATAAAAGACAAAAATTATATTAAATAGTGATTAAAAAAACAATAAGTAATAATGCAAATTAATCAAATGTACATACCTCATTCAATTGATAATGTTCCGTAAACGCAGTAATGACAGAGTCATCAAAACAAACTTTTTTAATACGGTATGTTGAATTTGCTGGATCGTGTACATTCTTTTCCACAACGTTAAGTTTGAACAACATCATTCTATCAACCAGATCATCAAGTTCGTTTGGATATTCCAAATCATCTTCTCCCTAATTATTAACGGAAAATAAGTTTAAATAAATGTACCTACGAACTTTAAAAAAAATCACGAACGCTTATTGACTTTTACCCTATCGTGTATACGCTGAATTAATGCATCGATAGAAAGATTCAACATCATTTCTGCATCTTTTCCAAATACTATCAATGTTGCGGTATTTGTGTCGTCCATGACAATGAACTCAATTTTGTACCTATAAGCAATAGTATAATATATTAACACGATTATAGTAATCTATAACAAATTTGGAATAGATGTAATGTTAGCTATTTTTTAAATCCTAGTACTAAGTAAATTTTTAATTTAATATATTTAAATGTCAGTAGTAATTAACAAACAGAAATTGATTTTTTTTATAAAATAAATAAAATTAAATAGTGCTTACATGGGTTTAGCCGAATGATATTTCTTATCACAATGAACACAATACCACATCTTCAAATCCTTCTCAACGGATCTCTTACACTTCGTATTCGGGCAGCTATAAAACCACCACTTTGATTTTTTCACCAAATTTGTGATCGTTGCCAATACAATGCATGTGCCAATCTAGAATTTAATACGATAATACATTAAAATATATAATTGCAGTTTGAAAATTATATATATGCAGAGAAAATTATGAAACAAAGTAGGAATACCTCAGGCGATTCATTTAAGTCATCCAAAGTCTTTCTAACAGACTTATGAACAAAGTCGTCCTCATATGAGTACGAAGAATTTGATGACATTTGACTTACGACTCGACAACTATCTGGCTCGCTGAGTCTGTAAAAACACTCAAGGTTGGATTAATAAGGTGGATTTATATAAAATAAAAAATATACACAGAGATTTATGTTTAAACAAACCTTGATTTGTAGTCATTGATTTCGTCAATGTTTGCATTTATCATAAACCGGGAAGAATGAAATGTATTGGAGACCTCAATGTCACCTGAAAAATGATTAAATTAAATCCTAATGTATAGTACACATGTATTCAATACAATGTTTAAAGCAAGTAAAAATATGAAGAATACCATATCGCATTCAATACGTATAGTACTAATATGTATATATAAAAATAATTATGAATATAAAACTATGCATATATACTTATAATAATCTATAAGAAATGATAAAAAAAAATGTAATATGAAACTGTATAATACGAACATTGTGCACTTTGTAATCGAATGGTGGTAGATAAAAATGAAATGAACATTGAGGGGTTTATATAGTATTGAAAATGAACTTAATTCTATGGAAAAAATAAAAAATTCAAAAAATTTATATATTAGTAAATGAAATCAAATCAAACAAATAAAGGAAACAACCCAAAAAAAATAAAAAAATAACTTGTGGAAAAAGATCTTGCAATATAAAAACATTAAATATGAAGATACGATTTTTATTTTTTACCATTCAATTTTGAATTAAAGTGTAAATTAAATCAATCAAAGATGATATGAAGGAATCTTGGAATATTAAAGATTTCTTTGTATTGGTGATTTGATATTTTATTTAAATTGTTAAATATATAAAAATTGGGGTAATATACTGCATTTAAATTAGAAAGCTTTACAAAGTTATGGAAATATCAACTAAAGTAAAGGTACTCATACTTCAAATGATAAATATATTTCGGTGGCATAGGAGTAAATAATAGATTCCTTCTTAAAATATACTGCATTTAAATTGTTAAATTTTCAAATTTCAAAATATTGCATATTTATTAAATAGTATAATTATTTTTAATTTGAAATATGGTATAATAAAAATTATATTAAAAAAATAGTGTATATTTAGTAAATAGTTCAATTAAAAAATAAAACATTTTTTTATTATTATTTTTAATGGAATGGATATTCGAATATTCTAAAATATTGAAGATTAAAAAAAAAAAAAAAAAAAAAAAACAACAACAACATATTCCTTTATTTTAATATTTTAGTATTTAAAAAAACATTTTTTTTATGAAAATTATTTGAATATTCGTAAAAAAATTGAGTTTCATGAATTTTTTTTAATAAAAATATTTTGAAATACTGAAAATATAAATAAGATTTTTTTATTTCGAATTTATAAAATATTAACTTGGGAAATAATATATATACATGTGGTAAATATTAAATGATTGTGTACATGTAAAATAGGAAAGAACTAAAAAACATCCATAAATAAAAATGCCACCTAATCAATTGAAGAATCCACCTAATCAATTGAACTCCAACTAAGCAATTTTGACAAATGACATCATCATTTGCCACATGTCAATCATATAGAGTATAGATCCTCTTTTTATATTATATATAGATTAATGATCAATTTCATATTATGACAATTAATTATATATATATTTTTTTCGAATTGAGTTTATATTATTAAATTTATAAATATTAATATTGTTACTGATATCACTAATAAATTTTATTATAATTGTTATTATCATTTATTAAATTAATCATTATTTTCATTTTTGAAATGCTATCCCGTGATTCGCATTGGAAAAAATGCTAGTTATAATAATAATAATAATAATAATAATAATAATAATAATAATAATAATAATAATAATAATAATAAATAATAAATAAATAAATAAATAAGTTTGTGAGTCGACTCGCGAGCTAACAAACAACTATAATTGGCCTCGAGCTCGTCCGAAGCTCGAACTTGTGAGATAATAATTTATTTATAGTTTATATATATATATATATATATATATATATATATATATATATATATATATATATATATATATATATATATAGCTATTATTTTTTTTTCTTTTTTTGGTATTATACAAAAAAAAAAAAAAATGAAGACACGTAATTCGGTTCTCCAAACATTTCGATCTGACGCGGACGACTTGGCCCACAGATCCTTGAAAACCCTAAAATCCTAAATCACTATATATATTCTGTTCAACATCTAATAGGGCTTACCATTTTCCATCTGTTCCGCCTCTCATTTCATTTTCCCCCTCCGCCGCCGCCGCCGTACACAATCAATCAGCCATGGCGCAAGAGCAGCTCGTCCTCCGCGGCACAATGCGCGCCCACACCGACTGGGTGACCGCCATCGCCACCCCAATCGACAACTCCGACATGATCGTCACCGCCTCCCGCGACAAATCAATCATCCTCTGGTCCCTCACCAAGGAGGACAGGACCTACGGCGTCGCCCGCCGCCGCCTAACCGGCCACTCTCACTTCGTCGAAGACGTCGTCCTCTCCTCCGACGGCCAGTTCGCCCTCTCCGGCTCATGGGACGGCGAGCTCCGCCTCTGGGACCTCCAGACCGGAAACACCGCCCGCCGGTTCGTCGGACACACGAAGGACGTGCTCTCCGTCGCGTTCTCGATCGACAATCGCCAGATCGTCTCCGCCTCCCGCGACAAGACGATCAAGCTGTGGAACACGCTCGGAGAGTGCAAGTACACCATCCAGGATCAGGACGCGCATTCCGATTGGGTTTCGTGCGTGAGGTTCTCGCCGAATACCCTGCAGCCGACCATCGTCTCGGCGTCGTGGGATAAGACGGTTAAGATTTGGAATCTGACGAATTGCAAGCTGAGGTCGACGTTGGCCGGACACTCTGGGTACGTGAACACGTCGGCGGTTTCTCCGGACGGTTCGCTGTGCGCGAGCGGAGGGAAGGACGGTGTGATATTGCTGTGGGATTTGGCAGAGGGGAAGAGGCTGTACTCGTTGGATGCAGGGTCGATAATAAATGCGCTGTGTTTCAGCCCTAATAGATACTGGCTTTGCGCGGCAACTGAGGCCAGCATTAAGATTTGGGATTTGGAGAGCAAGAGTGTTGTTGTTGATCTCAAGGTTGATTTGAAGCATGAGAGCGAGATTGCTCCTGAAGGTGCTACCCAATCCGCTGCTGCTAAAAATAAGGTTCTCTCTCTCTTTCTCTCTCTCTCTCTCTATATATATATATATATATATATATTTACTACTTTTATTGACTGAAAATTGTGGATTAATTTTGTTTATATATCTGCATTGTCAATGCTCTACTCGGATCAGTTTTTTGTGTGTTCAATATATGACTTGGGTTTGGGTTTTCATTTATTTGTAATACTCCCTCACTTTTAGTACAAGTGTCACTTTAAAGTATCAAGATAAAATGCACTATTTTGTCCTATATCGTTAATTATTCTTCAATCTCGTTAATTTGTACAACTAATTTATCATTCTTCAAGGTCTGTAAGGGGCAATTTAGAATTTTTTTTCATTTAAAAAGGAGGCTATATATTAGGTTTCTTGATCTTTGTGCGTTCACGATAATGACACTTATTTGGAAACTGAGGTAGTAGTATAGATGGTTGTGTCTTTGTAGTCATGCGTTTATGGTGCCTTTCGATATTTTCCTCGCCTTAGAAGTTATCATATATAGTATATGTGCTTGGCATTGTAGTATTATAAGTGCTAAATGATAGTAGTTAATACTGGGTGTTGTACCAAAGATAACGATGTCCGAGTATTTAATTGGGTACTTGTGCTTACAAGAATGAAAAATAACACAGGGGATAATGGTTTTGTGTTTTGAATGTAAGTAGTATCTGATGTTGTTTTGTACATTGTTTGATAATAGGTGATATACTGCACCAGTCTAAGCTGGAGTGCCGATGGAAGCACTCTTTTCAGTGGTTATACAGATGGTGTTGTTCGAGTATGGGGTATTGGTCGCTACTAAGCTTTTTTTAAGCCACATTTTTTTGCCAGTAATTTTAATCTCGTATCAGATTCAAGTCTGGAAATAGGAAAGGTATTCGGATTCCTGTATTGTAATGGTTTTGCCCTTGCTATTTTTGAATTTTGAGTTTTTTATTTTATTTTTATCTGGTACATTTTATGTTTCCGACACTTAACCAAAGGTTTTTTGCTTCATTGAGTTGGAATTCTGCATCTTTTTCTTTTGACTTGGAATTCTTTGCCCCTTGGATAATAGCATTTGCAACAAGTTTCGTTATTTTGCTTTCGATGTTTTTCCTCGATGGTGTATAAAAATAGAATTAGAGTAAGCAGCAACATTTGCGGTAAACATTATGGACAAAACAAAGGAATGACAACAGAAAATAGGAGACAGCATCTGTAGTCATGCAGACAGAGATCATTAAGAGATCATTAAGAGGAAGAGATGCATATTCCTTCATGTCCATTACATCAAGTTGAGCACATATTAGAACGACATTACAAGAGCATTAAGCAGGAAATTAATTATGTGCCGATTTTACTCCCTACTATTTGCTCATTTAGTTTTTTGGGCTATATATTTGGGCTAAAGAAAGATATGCTGTGCAACTTCCAAAATAGTTAGCAATCTTAGGGTGCACTGTGCTAAAACTTAATATTTTCTGGGTGTAAAATGTCAAAAATTCAATTTAGTTTTTTATAAATAATAAACACGTATTTGCAATACAACTAGAGTATTATAGGGGTATGAACGAGTCGAGCTCGCCAAAAATTTCAGGCTCAAGCTCAAGCTTGTATCCAATTTTGCGCGCTCGAGCTCATCGAGCTTTTATTTTCTAGGCTCAAGCTCAAGTGGACCTATCGAGCTTGAGCTGAGTTCATTTTGTTAATATTTAGTTTTATGTTACATTATTTTATCAGTATAACTTATTTATATGACGATAAAAATAAAATAAATTATAATTTTTTTTTAATTTATATATGTATTTGGTTAATATTATTTTATATATTTTTATTTTTATTATAATGTATATTATTTAAATAAAAAATAAATAAATAAGAAACTCGCGAGCCGGCTTGCAAGCTGTCGAACAACTATAACCATGCCCAGGTTCAAGCTCGAGCTTTTATTGAGTCGGCTCATCGAGTTCACGAGCCGTCTCAAATTATTTACCACCCCTAAAGTATTCTCATAGGGTTTTACAATTTTCAACACTTCCCCTCAGCATATAAGTCAAAAAATCAAACGTGCAATTTGAGGTCCCCTAAAAGCATTGGTTATTCCCGTGAATTGGATACTCCGGGACAACAATGTATGCTTTCGTAGGAGTTACATCTTCATCTTCTGACCAACCTTTAGTGGGAGCCATATAAAAAATAGATGTCCTTTTAAAATAAGTGTAGACGTAAATATGTGAATTATTGCCTAATATATAGAGACATCATTGTGTGTAAAGAAGTGTAGAAGACAATGTAATTTTGAAAGGGCAAAGTAAAAATTGAAAGGACATAAGTAAAATATGAAAGTTATGGTAATTTCAAAAGGGCAAAAGTAAAATTTTAAAGGGCACAAGTAAAATATAAAAAGGTCATGGTAAATTCAAAAGGGCAAAATGAAAATTTAAAAAGGCCAGGGTAAATTCGAAAGGACAAAAGTAAAATTTGAAAAGATAAAAGTAAAATTTCAATTCCAAAGTTTGTATAGTCACTATCAAGTTTGTATAGTAGTTATCAACACCATCTCTCAATTAAGTCATGTGGGTGTTGTCTGCAATATGGGAGACAAAATATATGGTGAGAGAAAATAATTCTGCAAATAAGAAAAGGAAAAAAAAAGACATCATAATTAATATGACGTGTCACCTAGCGATTGGTTCTTCATATTACGTCTACATATAATTTTATGGGATTATTTGTCAAAAGCCCCCCATTATACAAGGCTAATTACAATAGATCCATTTTTTTTAGAATTTTTTGAGATAAATCCATTTAAGCATTAAATAATGAAAAATAATAAATTATCACTATTTTACCCTAACCTAAAACAAACGTATATTTTATAATTGGAAATAAAAAAAATTTAAAAAAAAAATTGTAATATCTTTTCCTATTATATCGCAATTAATTACGATAAACGCCGGCTTCTCCCCTGAAATCATTCATCCAGAAATCCTCATCGCAGCAGAAATATCTCCGCAGCTGCTCCGCCTCAACAACTGCGTCCGCCACTCCTCCTCCCCGCCGCTGCCGGCCGCCACATCCGCGGCGAATTCCAGTGGTTTTTAATCGCGTTATAGGTGCGCCCGACGAGCAGCCTCGAGATCGACGCCCACTTGTTCCCAAACTCGGCGTGCGCCTTGAGAATAGTCTCGTCCTCCTCCGTCGTGAACGGGCGGTGCTTCACCTCCGACGAGAGCTGATTGCACCACCGCAGCCCACAGGACTTCCCCAATCTCCCCGGAATCGACCGGCATATCAACGACCAATTCCTAGCGCCGTGCCGCTCAACCAAGTTCTTCAACAACGCGTCCTCCTCCGTACTCCACGGCCCCTTGATCCTGTCGCGAACCTCCTCCGCCGCCATTGATCAATCAACACACACACAAGCCGGTAACTCCCTAACAAAAATAAATCTGAATATTTTATTCGAGCAGTTATATAGATACAGAGTCTTTGTATATGTACTAGGGGTTAGATTATAGGTTTTATTTCTCAAAAGCCCCCCATTACACAAGGTTTTTTGGTTCAAGTTCTTGAACAACCGAAGTGATGCCGAATTTGTTTGTATACATTTGTTAATAGTGGTTTTGGATGAACATTTGTTAATAGTGGTTTTGGATGAACATATACTGGATTACACTTATGTAACAGTGGATTACACTAATTTAATAGTGGATTACGTTATTTTTAATGTGGATTATGCTTATTTTATAGTAAATTTTACTTTAATTCTATAGTGGTTTTCGATAAATTTATGCTTATTTTATATTAATTTGTACTTTTAACTTCATAGTGGTTTTTGATAAATATAGTGGTTTTCATGTTATATTGTTGGTATATAGAGTGATTTTCATGTTTATATAGCTGTGTTATATAGAGTGATTTTCATGTTTATATGAGCGGTTTTTATTTAAAAAAAACTGGAAAGAAAAAAAAAACCATTTCTAAATAAAATTAAAATTAAGAAAAAAAAATCATGACAAAACGAAAATAAAATAAAATCATTTTTTAAATTTAAATAAAAAGTATGAAAAATATAAATAAGAAAACAATAATTCAAAATAAAAAACCAAAAATAAAAAATAAATTAATTACAAAATTTTCTTTTAAATCGAAATAAAGAAAATCATTAAACAAAATAAAAAAGAAAAGAAAAAAAAAACTGAATTAGCGTTATTAGGGGAATAATTATTGGAGAAGATTTAGGTGTAGATTATAGGTATACTTTTTGTAAAATTAAATAGTTATACTAATTAATAGTTAGTGGGGGCATATATGGTTTTTCAGGCCCATTGGATTTATCTCAAATATCATTTATAAATAAACGATTTATCAAGAATTAAAATCCCAATGACGTGTTTGGCATATTGCCCCTAATTTTATTTATGGTCTTCCGTATTTAAATGTGTTTCGATCAATAAAATATTTCATCATCAATATATCCATTTAATCATTTTACGAGCAAAATATATCAATAATGAATTATGGATCGAGTCCCAATGAATTTGATTGTGTTGCGTATAATGAGCAAATACTTGAAGAAGACAACGAAGCAGATACACTTGATTGTCTATATTATGAAACAACCGCTAATCAAGAGGAAGAGATGCATCTTCCTTCGTGACCATTACATCAAGTTGAGCACATAATAAAACAAAATTACAAGAGCATTAAGCAGGAAATTAATCATGTGCCAATTTTGCTCCTTACTATTTGCTCGTATAGTTTTTTTTGGTATATATTTTGGCTTAAAAAGGACATGGTGTGCAACTTTCAAAATAATGTGCAATCACAAGGTGCATTGTGCTAAAACTTAATATTTTCAGGGTGCAACATGTCAAAAACTCAATTCAATTTTTTATATACAATAAACACGTATTTGCCACACAACTAGAGTACTATAGGGGTAAGAACGAGCCGAGCTCGCCAAATTTTCCAGGCTCAGGCTCAAGCTTGTATCCAATTTTGCGAGCTCGAGCTCATCAAGCTTTTATTTTCTAGACTCAAGCTCATGTGGACCTATCGAGCTCGAGCTCAGCTCATTTTGTAAATTTTTTATTTTATGTTACTTTATTTTATTAGTATACAATATTTATATGACAATAAAAATAAAATAAATTATAATTTTTTATTAATTTATATATGTATTTGTTTAATATTATTACATAAATATTTTTTATTATAATGTATATTATTTAATTATAATAAATAAATAAATAAGAAACTCGCGAGCCATCTTGCAAGCTGTCGAACAACTATAATCATGCTCAGGTTCAAGTTCGAGCTTTTATTGAGTCGGCTCATCGAGTTCACGAGCCTGTTATTTACCACCCCTAAAGTATTTTCATAGTGTTTTACAATTTTCAACACTTCCCCTCAATCTGAAGCATATATGTCAAAAAGTTCAAACGTGCAATTTGAGGTCCCCTAAGAGCATTGGTTAGGCCCGTGAATTGGATCCTCCGAGACAATGTATGCTTTCGTAAGAGCTACATCTTCATCTTCTGACCAACCTTTAGTGGGAGCCATATAAAAAAATAGATGTCCTTCTAAAATAAGTGTAGACCTGAAGATGTGAATTATTGTCTAATATAAAGAGACATCATTGTGTGTAAAGAATTGTAGAAGACAATGTAAAATTTTAAAAGGGCAAAGTAAAAATTGAAAGGACATAAGTAAAATATGAAAGTTAGGGTTATTTCGAAAGGGCAAAAGTAAAATTTTTAAGGGCACAAGTAAAATATAAAAGGTCATGGTAAATTCAAAAGGGCAAAATTAATTTTTTAAAAGGTCAGGTAAATTCGAAAGGGAAAAAGTAAAATCTGAAAAGACAAAAGTAAAATTTCAATTCCAAAGTTTGTATATTTACTATCAAGTTTGTATAGTAGTTATCAACACCATCTCTCAATTAAGTCATGTAGGTGTTGTCTGCAATCTGGGAAGACAAAATATGTGGTGAGAGAAAATAATTCTGCAAATAAGAAAATGAAAAAAAAAAAAGACATCATAATTAATATGACGTGTCACCTAGCGATTGGTTCTTCATATTACGTCTACGTATAATTTTATTTATGGTCTTCCTTATTTAAATTTGTTTCAATCAATAAAATATTTCATCATCAATATATCCATTTAATCATTTTACGAGCAAAATATTTCAATAATGAATTATGGATCGAGTTCTAATGAATTTGATTGTGTTGCGTATAATGAGCAAATACTTGAAGAAGATAACTAAGCAGATACACTTGATTGTCTACATTATGAAGCAACCGCTAATCAAGAGGAAGAGATGCATCTTCCTTGGTGTCCATTACATCAAGTTGAGCACATATTAAAACAAAATTACAAGAGCATTAAGCAGGAACTTAATCATGTGCCAATTTTGCTCCTTGCTATTTGCTCATTTAGTTTTGTTTGCTATATATTTTGGCTTAAAAAGGACATGGTGTGCAACTTTCAAAATAATGTGCAATCACAAGGTGCATTGTGCTAAAACTTAATATTTTCAGGGTGCAACATGTCAAAAACTCAATTCAATTTTTTATATACAATAAACACGTATTTGCCACACAACTAGAGTACTATAGGGGTAAGAACGAGCCGAGCTCGCCAAATTTTCCAGGCTCAGGCTCAAGCTTGTATCCAATTTTGCGAGCTCGAGCTCATCAAGCTTTTATTTTCTAGACTCAAGCTCATGTGGACCTATCGAGCTCGAGCTCAGCTCATTTTGTTAATTTTTTATTTTATGTTACTTTATTTTATTAGTATACAATATTTATATGACAATAAAAATAAAATAAATTATAATTTTTTATTAATTTATATATGTTTTTGTTTAATATTTCTACATAAATATTTTTTATTATAATGTGTATTATTTAATTATAATAAATAAATAAATAAGAAACTCGCGAGCCGGCTTGCAAGCTGTCGAACAACTATAATCATGCTCAGGTTCAAGTTCGAGCTTTTATTGAGTTGACTCATCGAGTTCACGAGCCGGTTATTTACCACCCCTAAAGTATTTTGATAGTGTTTTACAATTTTCAACAATTCCCCTCAATCTGAAGCATATATGTCAAAAAGTCCAAACGTGCAATTTGAGGTCCCTAAGAGCATTGGTTAGTCCCGTGAATTGGATCCTCCGAGACAACAGTGTATGCTTTCGTAAGAGCTACATCTTCATCTTCTGACCAACCTTTAGTGGGAGCCATATAAAAAAATAGATGTCTTTCTAAAATAAGTGTAGACCTGAAGATGTGAATTATTGTCTAATATAAAGAGACATCATTGTGTGTAAGGAATTGTAGAAGACAATGTAAATTTTTGAAAGGGCAAAGTAAAAATTGAAAGGACATAAGTAAAATATGAAAGTTAGGGTAATTTCGAAAGGGCAAAAGTAAAATTTTTAAGGGCACAAGTAAAATATAAAACGTCATGGTTAATTCAAAAGGGCAAAAGTAAATTTTGAAAAGGTCAGGTAAATTTGAAAGGGCAAAAGTAAAATCTGAAAAGACAAAAGTAAAATTTCAATTCCAAAGTTTGTATATTCACTATCAAGTTTTTATAGTAGTTATCAACACCATCTTTCAATTAAGTCATGTAGGTGTTGTCTGCAATCTGGGAAGGCAAAATATGTGATGAGAGAAAATAATTCTGCAAATAAGAAAAGGAAAAAAAAAGACATCATAGTTAATATGACGTGTCACCTAGCGATTGGTTCTTCATATTACGTCTACATATAATTTTATTTATGGTCTTCCTTATTTAAATGTGTTTCATTCAATAAAATATTTCGTCATCAATATATCCATTTAATCATTTTACGAGCAAAATATTTCAGTAATGAATTATGGATCGAGTTCCAATGAATTTGATTGTGTTGCGTATAATGAGCAAATACTTGAAGAAGACAACGAAGCAGATACACTTGGTTGTCTACAATATGAAGCAACCGCTAATCAAGATGTTGTACACGGTGGCTCTGTTCTTGGACGCAAATACAAACCTCGCGACCGAAAAGGTAAACTCGAACAACTCGTGAATGATTACTTTTTTGACAACCTTGTTTTTGATGCAGATGATTTCAGACGCCGGTTCCGAATGAAGCGTCATTTAGTATTACGTTTGGTTGAGGATTACGAGCGCTCGAATACCTATTTTCAAGGAAACCATGATCGGGCCCACAAATTAGGATTTTCATCACTCCAAAAGGTTACAGTTGCTATGCGAATGTTGGCTTACGCATACTCAACTGATTCAATTGTCGAAACTTTCCATATGGTAGAGACAACCGCAACCGAGGCCTTGCGCGGATTATGCAAAACAATTTTGCGGTAGTGTAAAGATGAGTGAGTACCTTCGTGCTCTGACAAACGTAGATCTGACAAGGCTACTTGAGAAAGCGAAATGACGCGGGTCCCTGGAATGATCGGTTCACTAGATTGTATGCACTGGACATGGAAAATTGTCCAACTGCATGGCAGGGGAGCTTTTCAGAGAGAAAACATAAACCCGATGTGGCATGCATTCTTTGGCGTACCTGGTTCGTAAAACAATATCACTGTCTTCGGTCGTTCACCCTTGTTTGACAACGTTGTTCAAGAAATTTCCCCAAGAGTTCGCTATTAGGTAAATGAAAAAGATCATTACATGACGTATTATCTTGCTGATGGCATATATAGACCCAAAATGGGGTACGTTAATCCAATTCATTATGCAGCCGCGAACACATCAAGAACAAACGTTCTAAAAAAAGCAAGAAGCATATCATAAGGATGTTGAACGAGCTTTTGGAATTCTTCAAGGCCGATTTACCATAGTGAAGCAGTCTGGAAGAGGGTGGGATCCGAAAGACCGAAGAAATATTATGATGACATGTATCGTACTTCACAATATGATTGTGGAAGACGAACGGGATGAATATGCAGATGATGAGTTAGTTGACGATGACAAGACCCAACCACATCTCGCAGAGCTCGTGCCACCAATTATGAAAGAAATGAGGAATTAGATTTAAACCCTAGAACAAGCGTCATATCCATAAGTGATTGATTGAAGTAAATTGTAACCTTCAGCCTGACTTAATAGCTCATGTGTGAGCAAGACACAAGGGAAATGTGTAATAATTTTACTAAAGTGTTTATTTACGAATTAAGTGTTTGGTTTTATTAAAATTATTTTGTGGTTTCAAAATTATAATAAAAGGTAAAATAATCGTTTTTGTTGTCTTTGTCTAATTTTCACAATTATAAAATAAATATATAAAAAAGTAAAATAAAATAAAACTAAATAAAGAAACAAAATAAAATAATAATAATAATAATAATAATAATAATAATAATAATAATAATAATAATAATAATAATAATAATAATAATAATAATAATAATAATAATAATAATAATAATAATAATAATAATAATAATAATAAGAAGAAGAATAAAGATATAATTAAAATGAAATAAAAAAATAAAGGAAAAGAAATGACAAAAAAATATTAAAAGACTTTATTTATAAAATAAGTATTTGATTTTATTTAAATTATGTGATATTAAACTATGTAGCTACATAAATGAAATAAAATAAAATAATGATATAGTATAAAACATAAATAAAAAAGAAAAGGAAAATATAAAAAATATATAAAAGAGAAGAGAAGAGAAGAGAAAAGAAAAAAAAAACAAAAGAAACTAACGTTCAGCATTTGGGGGGGGGGTTGGGGGGTGGGGGGCTCCCCTTCTCCCCACCCCCATTACCCACTCCATTAGAGGTGGTTTTGCCTCCCCACCCTTACCCATCCCAATCTCTATTGGAGATGGTCTAAGAGGCTTTGTCAAGATATTTGTTTGTTGATCATTTGAACTAAGAGTTTCAATATTTAATTTGTAAAGAAAGTATTTTTTTTTTTCTGTATAAAATGACAATGAATTTCGATATGCTTAGTTCTTTCATGAAACACAAAATTCTATGTTAAATGAAGTGGTGCTTGATTACCATAACACAACTTCATTTCTTGAATGCCTCCAAACTTCATTTCTCATACTAGTTGATTAACCCATAGAAGCTCACAAATAGCTGTAACCAAGACCATGTATTTGATAAGGCAACAGTAATCTCTCAACCAAATAAGCCTGCAAATCACTCATCATCAATCAAGCTTAATCACATCTCCAAGAATCAGCAAGAGCAGCCCCTGAAATCATCTTGTAATTAATATATAATATTATCCATTAAGTTTGTAGCTTTAATCTTGTAATAGTGATTGTAAAGAGGAGGAGGATGAATCAGTAGTTGGGGTGGTAATGGTGGGAGTAGACATGATGAAAGTGAAGAAAAGAATTAAGAAGAAAGCAAGAAGCTGGAAGAAAAAAAATTAGTGGCTATGTACCATGAAAAAAGACTTTAGAATGTGATAATGAATTGTATTTCTCATCTGTATAGTTAGCAACACAGCTACACTCATACCCCAAAAACTCACTGGACCAAATTATTCCATGTGGACTTCTCAAATGAACAATCTCTTTCTTGGTTATGACCTCATGGGCTATATAGATGGCACTATCCTGTGTCCGCAAGCAACCACATCAGAATATAAAGTTTGGGTTCGCCAAGATCGTTTACTCCTCCTCGCTATTCAAACTACCGTTCAAGGATCAACGGGACCTCTCATCACTAGATGTGCAACAACGTATGCGAATAAGTCGAACACTCGCACTGTAAGTCTTATTGACGCTTTCACTAAAATTCATCAAGAAGGCAAAACTATATCTGAGTACTTACAGCCCGTCAAAACTATCATTGACGATCTTACTGCAATTGGTCACAACATGAGTGATGGAGAAATCGTCGTTCACACTCTCAACGGGCTTCCCAACTCCTACAAGGAAATCAAGGCTGCATTAAGGGCTCAAGAAACACTTATTTCTTTTGACGAATTGATGAAAAAATTGCTCGACTATGAGACAAGTTTCAAGCACTCAATCGTTGCTCCAGAGGATACTTCCATCACTGCCCACTTCTTTCAAAAGCAGCCTTACAAAAGGGCAAATTTCATTCTTCTCAATCTCGACAACCATCATATGAAGGTACCAACAATATTTATCGTGGAATTCTAGGTAACTTGTTTCAACAAAATGGCTCTCGTGGCAATTATTATTGCCCCCAAACTCGACCTGTTTGCCAATTATGTGACAAAGTAGGTTATGTTGCCAAGTTTTGTCGGTCCAGACCTCCACCGTTCAACTGGCCACAAGCAAACCTCGCAGCCTGCTCCTCCACGAGCAATAATTCGGGTTGGTTAGTCGATTTTAGGGGCTTCTCATCATATTACTTCAGACTTACAAAATGTTTCCATTCACTCCGATTATGGTGGTAATGAAGATATAATTGTTGGTGATGGTAATAATATTCCTATTACTCACATTGGCTCTACGGATCTTAAATCTTATAATACTACTTTCAAACTTAATAATGTTTTGTGTGCACCCAAAATTAAGAAAAAATATTATTTATGTTTCTTGATTTTGTACCCAAAATAAAGCTTCTATTGAATTTTTCACTGATTTTTTCCTTGTCAAGGATCTAATTACGAGGGCATCATTGGTGCGAGGCCAGAGTAAGGACAATGTCTACGAGTGGCCGACCTCTATCACAGATTCATCTCAAACCATCTCTTCCTTAGCATACACGGCAATAAAGTCAAACTTCCTTTCACCGTCTACCCACCTCTGGCATAGTCGTCTTGGCTACCCTTATTTCATGGTTCTCCAGCATATTATTTCTTCCCATGCTCTACCACTATCTAAAAATAATATTTCCTCCTCTTTTTTGTAATGGTTGTTTATGTAATAAAAGTCACAAACTTCCTTAGGTACTTCTACCTTACCATGTTCATGTCCTTTAGAAGTCCATTTTATGGATGTTTGGGGACCTTCTCCAATTATCTCATTTGATAATTTTCGATATTATGTCATTTTTGTTGACTATTTTACAAAATATACTTGGCTTTATCCTCTCAAACATAAATCAGACGTATCTTCAATTTTTGTTCATTTTAAAACATTAGTTAAGAGATATTTTTCTAAAACTATTCAAACCGTATACACCGATGGTAGTGGAGAAGCCACAAGTCTCGGCCATCTTCTTTCTCAATTTGGTATCCAACATCTCAAATCCCCACCTCACACCCCTGAGCATGTTGGTACTGTTGAACGTAAACATCAGCATATTGTCGGTATTGCTCTAACTCATCCTCATCATGCTTCACTCCCTCTTCAATATTGGACAATAGCATTTCAAACAACCACTTATTTAATCAATCACATGTCTTCCGATGTCACCCGTAAACAATCTCCATATTACCATTTCTTTCAAAAATCACCAAATTACCTTTCTCTTAAGGTCTTTGGCTGTCTATGTTATCCATGGTTACGTCCCTACAACACTCACAAACTTGCACCACGCTCTCGACTGTGTGTATTTATCGGTTACTCTATCCCTCACCATGCATATATGTGTCTTGACCCTACATCCGATAAAGTTTTTATCTCACGTCATGTGATTTTCAATGAAACAATGTTTCCTTTCACCAAACTTCCAAAATCCGACCACAAAGCCTACACAACTAACCCCTAGCTCTCTCAAACCAATAAATCTCAAGACTCACCTATAAGTCCATTTAATTCTAATACCCCACTCTCTCACACAATGATTCTTCCACCACATACTACTTCTATCATATCTACTGTCCCCGATACTCAACTTCATGCTACTAATGAATCTACTATTACGAGGTCGGTCACTCTTCCAGTCAATACCCCGCGACTCAGCTTCATGCCCAGGGCGCTACTTCGTCTTCCCAGGAACCTGAACCCTCTACTTCTATCCCTCATCCTTATAACACTAGACTCAAACATAATATTACTAAACTTAGAGAGATTCTTAACCTTAACACCACTTTTCTCAGGTTGATCGAGAACCCTCCTCCACCTACAAACAAGCCCTGCAAAATCCCATGTGGCGTCAAGCCATGTGTGATGAATATAATGTCTTACTCTCAAATAAAACCTGCTCTCTTGTCCCTAGAACTGTCACACAAAACATTATCGGTTGTAAGTGGGTTTATAAGATCAAGAGAAATCCGGATGGTTCAATAGCCCGCCTTGTAGCCAAGGGATTCAATCAGCGTCTCGGAATTGATTTCTCTGAGACTTACGGTCCAGTTGTTAAACATGCTACTGTTCGACTAATACTTACACTTGCTGTAACTAATGGTTGGCCTTTACGCCAACTTGACGTTAACAATGCCTTCTTGCAAGGATCTTTATCTGATGAGGTTTTCATGGATCAACCACCCGACTTTATTAATACTGATTTTCCGCACCATTTTTGCAAGATTACGAAAGCAATATATGGTCTTCGACAAGCTCCAAGAGCTTGGTATCAAGAATTGCCTAATTTCTTGCTTAGCACTGGATTCATCACCTCACCCTCGGACACATCCTTATTCATGTATTTGAGATCTGGCTATAATGTCTATCTTCTAATTTATGTGGATGATACCATCATCACTGGCTCCTGTGTAACTGATGTTATTGAGTTCATTACATTGTTATCTCGGCATTTTTCTCTCAAGGACCTTGGTCTTCTCTCCTACTTTCTTGGCATAGAAGCAATCCAAGTTGTGATGGATTATTTTTGTCCCAACGAAAATATATTTCCGACCTTCTAGAGCGAGTCAACATGACTCAAGCCAAACCTGTAGCCACATCGCTTGCTACAACAGATAATCTCAAACTTCAAGATGGTTATTCACTAGCTGATGCTACTTTGTACCGGCAAACACTTGGGTCATTTCAATATTCGACTCTCACTCGACCAGATATGTCGTTTGTAATTAATAAACTTTCTCAGTTTATGCATTGCCCATATTCACTGCATTAGGCTGTTGTTAAATTCTTACTACGGTATCTCGTCGGCACTATCGATCATGGACTTATGTTATGTAAAAGGACCACAAACACTTCATACATTTGCTGATGCGGATTGCGCAGGAGATCCCACAGATCGATCTTCAACATCTACCAATGTTATCTTTCGTGGTGTCAATCCCATCTCTTGGAGCTGCAAAAAGCAAAAAACAGTTGCAAGGTCATCAACCGAGGCTGAATACCGTGCTATTGCATCCGCTGCCAGAGAGTTAAATTGGATCATGAATTTGCTTCAAGAGTTGCGAGTTTCGGTGCCTTCTATATCTGTTATATATTGTGACAACATAATTGCCACTTATGTTTGCACGAACCCTGTATTTCACTCTCGCATGAAGCACATTGCCATTGATTTCCACTTCGTACGAGAACAAGTGACTGCTAAGCGACTTCGAGTTTTTCACATTCACACATATGATCAGCTTGTCGACTCACTTATTAAACTTCTTGCTCGTACTCAATTGCTCAATCATAGAAACAAGATTGGTGTCCTTAACGGCCAATCAATCTCGCGGGGGCATGATAAGGCAACAGTTATCTATCCACCAAATAAGCCTGCAAATCACTCATCATCAATCAAGTTTAATCACAACTCCACGAGTCAGCAAGAGCAGCCCTTGAATTCATCTTTTAATTAATATATAATATTCTCCATTAAGTTTGTAGCTTTAATCTTGTAATAGTGATTGTAACTGTAAGCTGCTAAATTGTATATATAGGTGCAGATCTATACAAATGAGAAATACAATTCATTATCACATTCTAAAGTCTTTTTACAGTATTCAGCCTCCGCACTAAATCGCGCAACTGTTTGAAAGGAAATTTCTAGGAGTACACTATTGATAAATTTGTAAAAAATATTATTTTAATTTTCCTATGGATGCATTCATAAAATTCTAAATGATTGGGGGATTAAAAGTAAATCTAGAATTTACAACATGATTCAAACACGATTCTAAACGTAGTCTTTAACTTCATATACAACAAGAAACACAAACGGTGTCCTCCCGAAACATGAGCGTTTCTCTAAAATCCAATCCTCTCACCATAGCTCTAAAGACGATTGATTATCTATTGTATATCTCAGTTTAATAATTCTTCAGTAAGTGTTGGCTTATGTCTTGGATAGCTCTAAATTTATGTTAAAAATTTGAGAAAAGAAAGGAGAAGAGATAAAACTCTCTTATGTAACCAACCCTCATTAGGAGAGTTGGTACCTAGCCTTTACCAATAGGGTAACGGTCTAGGGTTCGAGTCCCCCTCCCCTACTTTCCCTTGTAATTGACTTAAATTTTCTCAAAAAAAAAACTCTCTTATGTAAAAGGGGTTTTTGTGCATAAGTCCTGACCAACCATCTTTATTATTTTAGATTCATGGGCTATATATCTTTCGCCAATAAGCCCATCCCTTTAATATGTATTATAAATAAAGGAAAAATTAATGTATATGATAAAATTATCCCCAACCCTTTACACCAAATTCTTAATTGTAACCCCAATTTTTGACCACAAAAACAATTTTGACTTTTAAAAAAAAAAAATTCTTTCAGAAATTATTTTTTTGCCGCTAGTTTATGGCGTTGAATTTCCGATATTTTTTTACGGTCTGTTTTTTTCCGCTTTTCAGTCGTTGACTTTTTTTAGTGGTTTTTTTTTTTAACACCTACCGCTAAACATTGACCGTAATTGTGCTGTCATTAACAGTAATTTTACTGTCGCTGGCAGTAAATTAATGCACTTATACTGTCGTTGACAGTACATTAACGTAATTGTACTGTCGCAGTACATTTATGTAATTGTGCTGTCGTTGACAGTACAATTAGAGTTAACGACAATATTATTATTGTTATATTTTTTTTATTTTTTTTACATTTTGTTTGATTTGTTGACAAGTCAACGTAATTATATTACTGTCGTTGACAATAAAATAACTGTAAACACAATAATATAAATACTATTGTGTTTTGGGTATTTTGTTTTGTTTGAGTTATTGACGGAGTAACGTAATAATATTACTGTCTACTATTGTAATATTACTGTAAACACAATAATATAACTGTGGTTGACGGTAATATTACTGTTGTTACAGTAATATTACTGTTAACCACAGTAATATTAATTCTTTTGACTTTTTCTTATCTTTAACTTTGTTGAACAGTCAACGTATTAATATTACTCTATTACACAATAATAATGACTTTTGTTGTATTAATATTACTGTGCTAGAGATTAATATAGCAATATTACTGTGTAAAACTCTAGTATAGTTAATTTTACTAACAGTAATATAGTTAATATTACTGTCAACTACAACAATATTGTTGTTTAAACGTGGGGCAAAAAGATGTTAAAGAAAAAAAAAATTAAAAAATATCGAAAAAGTAAACGCTGGAGAGCGGCGGCGGAAAAATCAGGAAGAGAAAAAAAAAAAAAAAAGTCAATGCCGGTGACCGGTGATCAACGGCGGCGACAGACGAAATTGTCCATAAAATTATGTTTTGGGTCAAAATTGAATAATTTGTGGTCAAATTGAGGTTATATTAAATTAAATGATGAAATAGGAGCATATTAAAATGTGAGAAGCTATTTTAGTCTTTTACAAATCTCTGATCCATATGTTGGCTTTTTTATAAAATAGCTTTTTTATCTGGATCCTTTTATAAATAAGTATCCATTGATTGACTTATTTGTAAAGTGCCCACTCTAAAAACGTTAAAAATATGATTTGCTAAAAAGAATATTAAATTTATCTCTCCAACTAAATCTTGTATATCAATGAACCTGGAAAGAGTTATATAAGGAAATAAATAATGAAAAGAAAAAAAAAAAAAAAAAAACTTCCACAAGACATGTAGTGGTCGAAAATTGGAGCTCTACAAGTCCTCAAATTTCGGTGCGCTCTCTCTATCTCTTCTATCTAACTATTGGATACATTTTATTTTTCTGATTAATTAGATAATTAATTGGGTTACAATAGAGCCCAAAAAAAATATAAGGGCCACATTTTAACATCAAATTAAATTATAATTCTAAGAAGAATCAATTTAATTTAACTATAAATAATTATTGTACTCACGCCCACATTCTTAGATGTTATTACATTTGAGTTCTGATTATTCTTTACTTGATTTTTCTCTACATAAGATATTCAATAACCACCAATTAATTTATTCACTGATAAATAAATTAAAAGGGAAATTTGTTAGATACCCCTTATTTTGGATTTATATATGTAGAGATCCTAGTTGCTAGATGAATATATGTATAGGTCATTTGACAAAAAAAAATAATATAAATAAAATAAAGGGGCAATTTGCTATAGGTCCCTCTCTATATTATAATTTATGTGTATAAATCCAAGTCAAAATTTAATGTTTTAATAAATTAATAATATTTATTATGGCAAAAATACCCTTAATTAAATCAAATCAAATCCCCAAAAATCTCTCTATCATAACAAATTCCCAAACATCTCTCTTCCAAATATTAACTAAAACAAATACATTAATTCATAATAAAAATATACAATTTGTTTTACAAACTCATACTCTAAAAAACGTCACTGCAGCCCCACCACCACCTATGATCTGGGAACTGAGACGTCTATGACTCCACGAACTGCAAATAACAAACTGAAAATTAGATTTTTTATTATTGAATTGCAAACAATAAAATACCTATGATTTCGCCAAATGCAAACAACAAACTGAAAAAACAAAATTCATAATTTGTATTACTAAATTACAAGCAAAAAATTACCTATGACTTCGCCAAATGCAAACAGCAAACTGAAGAAAAACATTCAGCAAAACTTGCATTATTGAATTGCAAGCAATAAACTACCTATGACTTGGCCAAATGCAAACAGCAAACTGAAAAAAAAAAAAAAAAAAAAAAAAAAAAACCAGCATCATTAAAAACATCGACCAAAAAATTGTTTATAGAACAATTTGCAAACAACAAAAATATTAAACAAAATATTTGTAAAATGTAACTTAAGACATACCTTGCAAATTGTAAACCAGATGAATCGAATCTCAACATCAAACGCAATTCTTCAAACAACAAACGAAATTAAACCAAATGCAAACGGAAATTGCTAACAACAAACGATGGGAGGTTCTACATACGGAAAACACAATGCGAATTTGGCTGGATTGTGGATTTCTAATTTTAATGGGAGGGATGTTAGCCGTCCTCTTTAATCCTTTCACAAAGAAATCCTCTCATAACCTAAAAAGATCC